CGGTAAATTCAATTTTCAGTACAACGCAATTGAGCAGCAAAAGGCGTCAACAAAATGCAAAAGGAGTTGCAATTGTAAGGATCTCAATTTCGTACGGCATAATGGCAGACATGTTGAGCTCAACTGGTGAACAAAAGGTCAGAAATATGTTTCAATTGAAGCTTAAGCTAATGAAATTTATACCTATGGCCAAAGGCTGCTCCTATACACGTTTTAGGATCTTTTTACAAGTCCAGCTTGCTAGTAAAGTTAAATCTGAAGAGCTGTAACCCGAAACTGTATCATGTTTTGATATCTTTAGCAACGGAATTTATGTGCCACTTATGGGATGTCATTGCCCTGAAAGACGAAATCAAGGCACCTGCAGCTCAACAACGCAAACTGCAAATATGATGCTAATCAAAGGCCTTGCATTTCGATTTCAGTTCGAAATATTAAATCGATGCCAAAGTGCCGAATCTATAATTATAAGCCATGAGCCGAGGCTAAAAACAGTGATGGCATTGCATTTGTCCAATGGCTGCATAAATGTTCTCATGCCTGTTTACACCTGGGCGCATTGTGTGAGAGTCCAGTTATCAACCCAACCTAAGAGTTGCTGCTGGCAACCATTATTTGCCAATTGCATCTGCCCACATTCCACTACGCACATTTCTACTCGTTCTACCTGCACACAAAAGCACTGAGGGAAAATTTTGTATCATTTGAAATTCAAAAATTATTTAGGTTTCAGGTTTTTTAGAAGTTTAAATCTAGGAAAATTCTTTTCTCGATAAGAAACTTTATTAAAGGATTTAACAATTTTAAAGCGATTTCTCCATTTAGATTTTTCTTTTCAGGAGTTATATATTTAATTACCATAAATTGAGCAACAAAGGAGATTCTGAATACTTTAAAATGGGTATCCCACTATGGCTTTTACAGTGCAATATAAACTATGTTGCCTACGAGCATTTTGATGTCTAAGGATAGTTTGGAAGAACTTTGTGTTGGGTGTTAAGAAATTCGATTTTTCTAGATAAAGAGAAAAGATTTTAAGAAGTAATAGATCCCTAAAACCCCTTTAGATTGGATTTCCCCGTTAAATTTCCCATTAATAACATAATATAACAAATTGGACTTCACTAACATTGCAGACATAACCTAGTAGATCATTTCGAATTGAAACCGCTTCGCTGAGTGCACCGACACACCGACGGTCCATTAGACTGGTCAGTTGGCCAGTTGACATCCATCCTCACGAGTCTCGTTCCGTCTCCTTTGGCTAATGCGGCCACTGGGCAGTCAACCGGCTCGTCCAGTCCCATCGCCTCCTGCCACTCCTCACAGTAACAGTGTAGAGTAGTTGTGTTGATTTTGCCCTTTGGCTGACACAGAATGTTGTTGACTTTGCATATTAAAACAAAATGAGAATGCAGAAGTGGGTAACAACAAAACGGGAACATTGTTGAAAGATGCGGAGGAAGGATGCCAGTCGGCCAGGCGGCCAGGATGGCAGCATTGGCGAGAGGTTTGGGCACTTATAAGGCTACTTTTTCATTTGTGACGCCCACGTTAAACTTTAATTAATTATATACAGTTTGTTTGGCAAATTAAAAATTGTTGACTTTCACAGAATCGCAGAATGATGACGAGGACGATGTAGAGGAGCCGGAAAATGAGGTTGGGGAATTTTAATTAGGCAGCCCCTCACACACACACACACACACTTATTGACACACAGACAGAGCGAAAGGTTGCGTAAGAGGCTTAAAGTGCGAAAATCGAGGAAAAACTGGTAAAGCAAAATGTGAAATGCTGTCGAGTGTGACGTCCAATAAGAATTAGTGGCCAACAGGAGCATCAAAAAGAGCCAGTTGTTGCTGTTTTTCGTTATTGCCATTGATTGACACGAAAAGCGGCCAAGCTTTCAGGTATGTAAGTCTGTGTGCGTGTGTCTGTGTATGAGTGTATTTCACGGGTCCGCAATTTTTGGCACGGACATGGAGAAATCGGGCGAAAGGGCCATGGCGTTGAAAACCTGCTTTTCAGTGGCTGATGGGCGAGATGGAGATGGCGAGAAGGCTCCAACGTGGCCATCCACGCTAATTGGAGCACGTCGCAGCGCACTCCTCCACTGGAAGAAACTACGATATCGAAAGTAAACTATTTTAATTATTCTTTGTCTAATCATATACTGTCTTTTGATATTAAACAACCTTTTCGAGTAAAATATGTAATAAGGAATACCTTCTAGCCACTCTGGGTATCTTTTGAAGTTAACAACTCAAAAATTGTACTTACTGATCTTTTGATCCGAACTTTTGGCAGAATATTTTTCCCAGTGTACGCTTTCACAGACGCAGGTGAAAACGAAGAAATTCACTTAATTGGAATACGACGAGGAGGGCACTGCAAGTGCGTCGCCATTGCTCTATGATTAATTAGTAGCCACAGCTTTCTGGCAAAACAGCGAAGGAACTTGGGTTGAGAAACTAAAACTGTCCCCAGAGATGATTGATACCTATTCAAAAGTTTCTGAACGCTCCAAAAACAAAAAACTGACCAAAATCAATTTAGTTAAGGTTTCCTTTTGTGCCATAGTTAAAGCTATTCATTTCTTCAACTCGATTACTTTATCGATTTCTTGATTTTGTTAAGCAAACTCAGCTTTCTAGAGGTGTGGAATAAATTCGGTGTAATTATAGCAGCTGTTGCCTGGTTTTTAGCAGCGATACCAGAGAATCCCAACTGGGAATTTCCCCACGAAAAACCCAGCTTTTCTTGACGTTTGTCGCGTTTCGTCTTACGCATAATTAGCCGGTGTAAGTAAACTCCTTAAGCTGCAGTTAAAAGCCATAAAACTTGCGCGCATCGTTTGCTGTCATGTTAAATTCATAATTTCAATTTGAAATTGTTATTACAGCCGTCGTTTGTTTTCCAACCCAACCGTTGCCCACCGCCCTACAGCCCTACCGCCCTTCCGCCCCATCATTCCATCTTAGCATCCCCTTCACGTTCCAGCCTGATTATTATTGACAGTTGCCGACGTCTTCTGTTCTGTTCAGTTCTGTTCTGTTCTGTCTTGATGGCGTTGTTTTAGTTGTCTGACACACCCTATCCTGCTCATTTTAGTCTCATAAATATGCAAATTAATCATTTGCGGAAATTTACATACTTAATAAGTCGCTTTAATTAAATGTTCACGCACGCATGCCTTGCAATCTTGCCCCCGAGAATCGGATGAAATCGGCGGAATCCTTTTTTCCACATTAATGCCAGCTTGTTAATTGTGCTGCAGCTAAAATTCATGTCCATAGCTCTGGAACTCGATTCGAATGAGGAGAGAAATGTGAAAAACTCGGTGCTTGGTGCTTGGTGCTTGGCAACTGTTTCGCATATTTTTCGGGGCACAGTCACGTTTCATTCAAAGCACCACTGGCAACAACACAAAAACAGTTTATCTGCCAAAAACAGCAAACAAAAAAAAAAAAAAAAAAAAAAAAAAAAAGAGCGTAGCACAGAAATCTTTTTTATGTGTTCAACGAAAATTTTCCCCAAAACGAAAATGAGCACCAGGACCAGTGGCATTAAAAAAAAAGAAAACAAAAAAAAGTATGCAAACTGTGAGGCGCAGCGAACATAAATTAACATTTTTATGCCCCGCTGCAATGAACCAACAAGAAGTTGGCTGGCAGAACTGGTCGGAGGATGGGTCTCGAGACTCGGATAGTGGGTGGTGGTTGGGGGCCTATGAGAGTCCTTTCTAATGCCCGCATTATTTACGAGGAAACTGAGGGCCCATTCACATCTCTCCATTTCATTTCATCTCCGTACTGTTCTGTTCGTTTCGTTTCCATTTCGCTTCGTTTCCATTTCGCCTCGCCGCATTCTTTGCCATTTGCCTTTGACGCCACAAATAATTTTAATTGGTTTTCCTTTTCGGGGTGACCCTCGACCCCAGATGGTAATGACTTTATTTCTATATATTGTAAATTCAGTGAGTTTGAAAACCATAAGACCATAACTTGTAATCGACAAAGTTTAGGTCGTGAGCAAGCAAAAAATATCAGCAAAAGTGCTCATCAATTCTGTATCAAATTAAGTCTAGCGATTCGACAGTAAATCAAACTTCTAAATATACTAAGGGAATTTTTGTTGGCAAAATAATTTTATAATAAATATCAATAAATCGAACTTTGTTACCTTACAATTCAAAATCCACTTAACAAATAAATATTCAAATTACATTTCAAAACGGTTCTTATCTCTTTTAGCAATGTTTTTAGCTTTGGCAACAGGATTTCGATTATCTTTCAAACAACACAAGTTTACTATAATCCTGATAGAGTATAAACTAATTCATCCTTCAAATATGCCACACCATTTTCCATTTATTCATATTATTTAAGTTTTGCAAGTGTGTTTGTGTTGCAGCCACAATTGCAATTTGATTTGGCTAAATTTGCATAAATGTGTATGTGTGTGTGTGTGTTGTTTGTGGGTTTGCACTTGCAACTTTTGGTTTTGATGAATGGGAAAGCAGTTGATGTCAGATAGAATGTGGGGAAGACGCCCCACCGCAATTATGTGAATTACGTTTTTCTGAAAGTTATATAATTCGCAAAATCCGCAATTTAATATCATGAATCGAAGCAAATAAAATGGGACAATTATAAATGTTTCCCCAAGGCTAACATAGATAGAAAACTAAGTAAACAAATTTTAGATATAATGTCACATACAATATAGATAGTGCTTTTCAAGATATATGTTATATACCACTGGATTTTTAAGATATCTAATAAGATTAATTTACAAATTATTCAAATTCCCAACGTTTGTGGTGAAATCAATATTAAATTGAATTTTAAATATAGTTCATGCCCAAAAAGATATTCGCAATTTTATATATAATTTATTTAGATAATTTAATACATTTAGATAATTAAATATTTAATATATGTAGATAATGCAATTCGTAGCATACTTTTTTGGGGCCTAACTGACTTTTCACTCACCTTTCTTCACAGCAAGTTTCACTTTTGCTTTCGGTCTTCCTCCACCTATCTCTCTCTATTTATTGCTCTTTCGTACTCTCTCTCTCTAGCTATTTGACTCTCCTTTTTCAATTTTTTTCACTCACTCAGACAGCTTAGCAAGCCATTGTTTTAGTTGTAGCTGCTATTGTTGTTGGTTTTCTTGTTGTCATTCCGAAGTCAGCGACACACACGCACACACACTGGCACACACACGCATAACGGTTGTGGGAGAGGGACGACGAACGAGCGGGCAAATTCATTAGGCATGCGGGAATTTTAATTTCACTTGCTCACACGCGCGCACATATGTGGCGACATATTTCTCAAACATTTTCGTTAGTTGATGCTGTTCTTGTTGTTGTTTCTATTTTTCCCGTGGATGAAGTCGTTGTTGGTATTGTTGTTGCTGGGCATCCTTTGGCCTTTGTTTTCGCCCGTACGGCGCTTTTCAATTTGCATGTCGCGCTGACCTTGCCGCCAAGTGGAAATAACTGTGCCAGCACACACGCACACACACGTACACTCCCGCTGACAGCTGTCAAAAATTGCGGATGGCCGATGTCGGATGTCGGATGCGAATGCGGATTTTACAGCTGGGTGGGGAGCAGGAGCTTGTAGATGCCGATAATATGCGGCTGCCGGCAAGGATAACGGTCCAAAATCTTCATCTTTGCAAGAAAAAACTACAGACTTTAAAATTTAGTCAAGTGCGTGAGTGAGTGAGACGGAGAACACATCACTGCCCTGCCTCGTCTTTCTCTTCCCCTCTTATTCGCACTCCCTGTCCTTAGCTTATTTATCTTTTTTCCGTTGTCTTTGTTCTACGCTCTCCGTGCGTGCGTTTGTTAGTGTGTGTGTGTGTGATGACAAATTTCTTTCATTGTCTGTGTGCAGCAGCAGGAGCAGCAACCATATATAAAAAACCAACAAGAATCGCCAAGGAGCGCTTCCAGTTTCAGAGTTTCCTTCGTTTTTTATATGTTTTTTGGAGATTGGATGCTGGATGGCCAAGTCTTTGTTGCCTTAATTTGCATAATAAACGTTGATTTCCAAAAAATTAAAAAAACCAAAAACCGGAAAACACGTGGCCAGAAATTCCAAGATTTTTCTGGCCCCGCAAAAAGGAGCTGGCTTGCTGGAGGTTTATCCTCACACAAATTCACATTAATGGCACATGCAATTTTCCCCTACATTTGGCACCTAGCGCCCTGCTTTCACCCGCTGTACCGTTTTGTGCCGTTATACCGTTCCGTTTTACCGTTATACCGCCGCGTTGTGTTCACAGGACCGCACAAGCTCAGACTGAAGCGACGAAGTGAAGCTGCGTGAGCGAGCGGCTGGATGCTTTCACGCTTTATTACTAAAAAAGAAGAAAAAAAAGGTCCTTTTTGCTTTCGCTCGCTCGCGCGCACAGCTTCCTCTGCTTCCTCTTCTTCTCTTCGGTGTGGAGACTTTCTCGCCGCTCTCTCTCTCTCTCTGGGTTTTAGCTCTCGTTCAGGCGCTTTCCAGCCCCCACGCCTCCCACTCTCGCATGCCACGGAACCTTCCCAATCTACACATTATATACTCTCAGTGCGTACGAGCGAGAAAGCGAGGCGGCGCAACAATGAAACGCTCGAAAGTCTCCAAAATGAACAGACCGTTTTAATAACTCGGCCATCCAGAGGTGCCATATTTTGACAGCGTTCCGAAAAGCACGTTCGGTATAAATTCGCCAAACGGAAAAAAAGGCGATACATCAATTAAATCTGTAATGCCTTAAGCCACCTAATGCCGAAAAGTATGCCTTAAAATATATTCTTTATTTTCCTTGCCTTCTCAAATCCGAACAGACTATTTATAGGCATACTTATATTATTATTACAGTTTTGCTTGATTTCAAGGCACTTCCCGATAAAAAATTGAAAATAATTTTCGATAGAAGGAAAAAAATATCAACAAAATATTTGCGAACAATAATAGTAACCCTATTTTATGTTATTAACTCCAAAGTCCCTGCACTAATACAATAATATAGCACAAATATTAAAATTTAAACATTTATTTAAGTACAAGAATATATGAAAATGGATTTTTACATAAGTATTTATGCAAGCAAAATAATTTTTACAAATATTCGGGGAAAAAATAAAGTTCTGGTTGGTCACAAATTCATATTAGGGGGTAAAATTCTAGATGCTTCAGATTCGTTAATAACAAGAAAATAATAATCAGCTCTGATAAATGACATTAAACACGTTCTAAAATCGACAAATTACTAAAAAAAAATTTAACTGGTACCTCTTCAATACAGCTTTATAATAAATTTTTAGCTTACAATTGTTGTTTGATACCGGTAGAATATTTAAAATATGGTATTACGTTTAATGAAATTCGTGAATTTTATACCAAATAGTCTAACAACCATCTGGTAACTCTAATACAGTTCAACAGTTATAGTGTTATGTTAACCACTATACAAAGTGCACTGATATTTTCGACTCATTCTTATGACTGCTATAAGAAATGGTCTTCTAAATCGAACTTATGTTAACTCGTGTTAATATCTGTCCTACCTAATGCAGTCAATATTTCATCACATGCTAACATGTTAACATCCATGTTAACATTAAGTGTGACCAAATCATAATGTGACCACATTTTGTAGAAATTTTCCAGGTATTGGGTATTTTAGTGTCCGGTAACACCGAACTCAGGCAGCAACCATCTTGTGAAAAGTACTACGAGTGAGGAGAGAATTGGTGTAGGAATTGTACAATTACTTTTGCGGCGAAAAGTTAAAAAGCTCACAAAATGTCGATGATTTCCGCCCGCCTGGCGTCCTCGGTCGCCCGTAACCTGCCCAAGGCTGCCACTCAGGTATTAACCAAGAATTTCAACGAATAATACGCCTTAAAAAAGTTTTTCAAAAAGATGTCATACATAATCAAATCGATTGGGTATTGCGAAAAAATTAGTGCATCGTGCTTATTTCAAATTTGATCAACCAAATGGATAAAGGTTGTTCAAATGTATAGCCAGTATTTAAATAGATTTCCCTGCTTTTTTGGCAAGAATTTATTGTTACGCAATGCGGCAAATAACAGAGCGGCCGCTGATTGTCAGGGTTACATAATCAGTGCAAACTAAGAATTAGCCAAAAAAAAGTACTATTTGTTGGTTAAATTCCTGCTAAAAGTGTGTGAAAATAGTTAAAAAGTCTTTGTTTTTGCGGTCAGATTACATAATTGTGTTGAAGGGGGTGATGCGGTGGAAGAAAAGTTTGAGGTTATGTGCGCCAGTCAAGCAAGTGGTGAAGGTGGAATGGAATACAAATGTAGAGATACCAACAGACAGTTACCCTATAGGAGGTTTTCTATTTATTAAAGAACAGATTAATAGCCGCAGAAAGGGTGGTTTGGATTTTTCTACTCCGTGGGTTATCCAATGCGCCTACACCTTACATAATCTCCCACAATCACATTGATTACCCTCCTCTCTTACAGGTCGCCTCCAAAGCCGCCTACCCCGCCGCCAGCCTTGCTGCCCGCAAGTTCCATGTTGCCAGCACGCAGCGCAGCGCTGAGATCTCCAACATCCTGGAGGAGCGCATCCTGGGTGTCGCCCCTAAAGCCGATTTGGAGGAGACCGGCCGTGTGCTGAGCATTGGTGATGGTATCGCCCGTGTGTACGGTCTGAACAACATCCAGGCCGATGAGATGGTGGAGTTCTCCTCCGGCTTGAAGGGCATGGCCCTTAACTTGGAGCCCGACAACGTCGGTGTTGTGGTGTTCGGTAATGACAAGCTGATCAAGCAGGGAGATATCGTCAAGCGTACCGGTGCCATCGTGGATGTGCCCGTCGGTGATGAGCTGCTGGGTCGCGTCGTCGATGCCCTGGGAAATGCCATTGACGGCAAGGGTGCCATCAACACCAAGGACCGTTTCCGTGTCGGCATCAAGGCCCCCGGCATCATTCCCCGTGTGTCCGTGAGGGAGCCCATGCAGACCGGTATCAAGGCCGTCGACTCTCTGGTGCCCATTGGTCGTGGTCAGCGTGAGCTGATCATTGGCGATCGTCAGACCGGGTAAGATAATATGGATATACTAATAATTCCTTTCTAGTAATATATTTTAAGCTATTGACTGCAACAAAATGTCATGCTATTCTAGAACCACGTGAAAAGTTTTAAAAGATAATAAGTTTAAACGAAATAACAATTCGAAGAATGCATACATTCGTCAATATTAATCTATTGAAAGCTTGTCTAGGAAAATCATTAAGTTAAAGTGAAGTCTAATATAACAAATAGCAAACAAGAACAAAAACAATGTCATTCTTAGCACTAACTAACCATCCGATTTTCTATTTGATCAACAGTAAGACCGCTCTGGCCATCGATACCATCATCAACCAGAAGCGTTTCAACGAAGCTCAGGATGAGTCCAAGAAACTGTACTGCATCTACGTCGCCATTGGCCAGAAGCGTTCCACTGTCGCCCAGATCGTGAAGCGTCTGACTGACTCCGGCGCCATGGGCTACTCCGTCATTGTGTCGGCTACTGCCTCCGATGCTGCTCCCCTGCAGTACTTGGCTCCCTACTCTGGATGCGCCATGGGCGAGTACTTCCGCGACAAGGGCAAGCACGCCCTGATCATCTACGATGATTTGTCCAAGCAGGCTGTTGCCTACCGTCAGATGTCCCTGCTGCTGCGTCGTCCCCCAGGTCGTGAGGCCTACCCCGGTGATGTGTTCTACCTGCATTCGCGTCTGTTGGAGCGTGCCGCCAAGATGTCCCCCGCCATGGGAGGTGGTTCCCTGACTGCCCTGCCCGTGATCGAGACCCAGGCTGGTGATGTGTCCGCCTACATTCCAACCAACGTCATCTCGATTACCGATGGACAGATCTTCTTGGAGACCGAATTGTTCTACAAGGGTATCCGCCCTGCCATTAACGTCGGTCTGTCTGTGTCCCGTGTGGGTTCCGCTGCCCAGACCAAGGCCATGAAGCAAGTGGCTGGTTCCATGAAGCTGGAGTTGGCCCAGTACCGTGAGGTCGCTGCCTTCGCCCAGTTCGGTTCCGATCTGGATGCCGCTACCCAGCAGCTGCTGAACCGTGGTGTGCGTCTTACTGAGCTCCTCAAGCAGGGTCAGTACGTGCCCATGGCCATTGAGGATCAGGTGCGTATGCAACAAATATTCCAGTAAATGTCGGGTATCCAAGCTATCCATTTAGGAACTAGTAATTGGATATCGGGCATTTAAGGGATACCTTTTTAAAAACTAATTTCTAATGCTTCACCCCATCTCCTAGGTCGCTGTCATCTACTGCGGTGTGCGGGGTCATCTGGACAAGATGGATCCCGCCAAGATCACCAAGTTCGAGAAGGAGTTCTTGCAGCACATCAAGACCTCTGAGCAGGCTCTGCTCGACACCATCGCCAAGGACGGTGCTATCTCGGAGGCGTCCGATGCCAAGCTGAAGGACGTTGTTGCCAAGTTCATGTCCACCTTCCAGGGTTAAGCCTGCCTCAGCAAAACGAAGAATAGATCAGTTGCGTGCAATTAACATCTTAGATGGCTCGAATAATGTTGCCATCCGCGCGTCATCATAAAAAAAGATACCAACTTAATGCTTAAGATAAACAGAAATTATACAAAAAAAAAAGAGAAAACTTCTTTGCACATTCATGTTTTCCTACGTATCCGCCTGGGATCGATTCTATTCCGTGGTCCTGCGTCGTCATGCCGCAAAATCTTGGGAGAGAGAGAGCAGGCGCAGGCGGCGGACTGGAAAGCGTTTCCTAGCCGAATCCGGTTTCGAATTTCAGTGAAATGTCCGTACGGTTCCTCCAACCTCCTAAACGATAGATAATCCCACGTTGTTCTTCTACCTTTAATATGTAATCAATATTTGAAATATTGTAATCGAAATGTCTGAGGATGATTGTGAAACGATGATGAATTAAACACGATACTAAATTATACTCTAAATAAGCCAAATGTTTCTTCATTGATGGGAATTAAATATTTTAAAATACAATTTTTTAAAATCTCTGAAACTTTCCCAGAAAAATTTCTCTAAACTAAGATGAGTTTTTTGTATCACTCTGATTTACTATATTTTTTTTATCTAAATTGGACATCTTACATGCTTCTAAAAAATATAATTAGTTAAGAGTTAAGAACTGGTTTAGTTTCTTTTTGCTTGCTTTTTTAATGTTGATAAACTTACTACATCCTTTCGATTGCTGGGGAGGTTGGTTCCAGTTTAGCAACATGTTGTTTGCCATTTTCTTTGATATAAATTTATAATTTGAAAAACTTAATTCACTTGACTTCTAAAACACCGACGAATTTTTCAAACCCTTCTATTATAGAACAAAGTATCCCAAGTTGAGTTTAGCCTAGTATAAAACTATTTTAGCGTTAAAGGACTTTTTAAGATGCAGTTATGCATATTGTTTATTGTATTGATGTTCCTGCTTAACAAGGGCATATTGAGATGGACCTATTTAAATATCTTGGTAGTCATGTCATAATCTTACTCTTAATAAAGATCCCGCGGCTTTCTATGGGTTTCCAGGACTAATCTTGCTTTCAGCTGATCCGCCATAAGACAAGCAGATGTCTTTCCTCACCTCGTCCTTTGGGTTACCGTAACCCCCTGACCACTGTTCGAATTAGCCACCCCTCGCTGAGTTACCTGAGCGACTCTCTGCTCTCCAAGGAGCAGGATTAAATAAAGACCCCAGCCCGGTGGTTCGGAGTGGTTCTGTGCATATTTCGTTAACAGCAAGCCAGAAACGAAAGCAAGAAATTTCCAAAAACAAAAAAGGCGGCCTAAGACCCAAAAACTGTAAACCCGATTTATACGGTCTGAAGTTTTTATGACGCCGATTGCCAGTGGCAGCCAACATAAAATATGCCACAATGGTGGATAAGGGGGCGGCAAGAAAAATTACTTTCTTTTTATTACATTTGTTTGACCGTAAACAAAAATTAATGAGGGCCATAAAACCGTCAAACTTAAATTTCGAACAGGCGCACAGCAAAAGCAGCAGGCTAAATACAGTGAGCGCTCTAAAAGGCGAACATTATAAAAATTCTTGGAACGCAATACAAATTATAAACTCTCCTTTGTCTATAAGAAATACAGTATTACGGTAAATCTAACATTTCTTTTAGGAGTTTTTAAGCAAAGTATCTCTTTATTAGTTGTTAAAATTTTTTTTTAGAAATTAAGAGTCTAGAGAAGCGATTCATCTTATTCCAGTCAAAGTATTTTTAATATTAAAATACTAAAAGCTAATAACTCAATTTTCAGTCAAAACTAATTTCTTAGTATACGTACATACATACATATATGTTTGTATGTGAACGTGATTAGTAACTTGATCATTGAAAAACAATTAACTCAGGGCAATGTTGTGCTAAATAAATCTTAACTTATCTTAAAATCTTTTACATTTTTTGGCATGCTCATTCGTAATTTTTTTTTCATAACACTTATTTGTATTACTTCGTTGTATCAAGTTATTACTGTACAAGAGAAAAGTGAGATAGACACCCACATACACAAAAGTCTGAAAGCGACACACTCACACACAGCCACGTGCGAGCAATGTGCTTGGCAATTACTGTTGCCCATGGAACAGGGCACAGAAAACAAAAAAGAGAGAACCCTGAAAATGGGAAGAAGGAAGGGAAGAGACGGAAAAGAAATAGAAGTAACTGACCTGCGATCGGGAAGGTGACCTTCCCTCAGGGTGCCAGTTATATGTGTGTACTTATGTATATTTATATGTACATACATAGGTACAGGGTATAGCCATTTGTAGTTTGTGTATTCAGGATTGATAAGAATGCAGGACAAAGGACACAAGAAATCTGTCCTTCGCAAAGGGTCTATATTCATCTCTGTCTGTCTGGTTCCTGATTTTTTTTTTCATGACGTGAAACATTTCTCACACTCATCAGCTGTCAAATCGAGTTGTATGTTCATGCATATGTAGTGTGTATGTGTTTGTAGCTCTAGTAAAATTAATTTAAAAAGGAATTATAAACCAAAAAACTCTAATACATTAAACTATATATGTTGTAAATGTTTTAATAAGTTATTTAAATACCAGCTCATACCAGTCTTCCTAACACAACATATACGATAATAAAAGCTAATAGAATGTTAAATAAATGCTGACAAAAGCTAAAAAAAATCCTTTAAAAAATCAATACTTATTTATAAGAAAACCTTATCAAATAGCTAAGTCCTGGGGAGACCCATGTAAATTTGCAGTAATTTACCCAAAAAAATAAGTAGAATTATTATTTTAATAAAATTTTACACAAACTTTATTTGCTATGTATTTATCAGACAGTTTCGGAAACATCAAAGTTGTTGAAAGTTTTTTAATTTCTTATTTGTAAACAGTAAAACTAGTTTAGGGTGCTTTTTGTATGAATACGTGAAAATACATGATATAAATTACAAATAGTCTAGAGTCTCTTATAATTTTCAAGAGGTATGAGAATAATTTTGCACAAGTTTTTTGGATTTATTACTTCCCATTGAAGATAAAAACTAAATACAAATAGTGGTGGAGGATGGGTATATGATTATAAAATATTTTTCTTGGAGAGACAACGCCGATGTGTTCGGCCAGCAAATGAACTCGTTGCCCACTCTCTCTCGGTGTCCACTGCTCCGCCACTCGCTCCTTACTGAGTAGATGGCCCAGCGGGAGGAGCAGGCGGGCGCTTCAGTTTAGTCCGGTTTTTATTTTTTCCGGAGGAACTCACTCCCAGCGGCCGGCTCGCGAGCAACTTGTGCTCCAGGGGCAAAGATGCCGGAGCCAGATCTTGGCAGCGGTCAAAAACTGCTCAAGGGACTCCAGCAGATTACAATGTCTGGGGAATTGCTTATGACGATGATTAAGACATTAATGAGACTACGGTTATTATAGGCAATTTGTAACGAACACGAAACGAACAGAATATTGAATACGCTAAAAATTTAAAAAATGAAAACAAATTAAACTAAACTAGATAATTCTGTGTCTTCCACTACGCCCTGGCCCAGACTACTTCTTCAAGCTCTGTCCCACAATGGAATCCATCAGCGCCCCACTTAGCTCCGTTCGCAGCGCAATCTTCTGGAACTTGCTGCCCTGGTACTTGTTATAAATGGCCTTCAGTTTGGCCTGAGGAGCATTACGTGCAAGCTTTGCAATCTGCCGGGTAATGGGTCGCAAGTGGGCGGCCGAATAGCGTGAGTAGAAGGTCAGCGTTGGTGTCCAGTGACGGTCGTTGAATCCTGTGCCAGCCCGGTAATTCCCATTGATTAAGTGCAGTGAAAGGAACAAAGAGGCCGCAGCAATCTATAGAGGAAGATAAAGTGGTAAGAATTTAATAAACCTTTCGTAAACTGAACATAATTATATAAAATTATAGGAAAAGCTAATGGAATTTATAAAAAATAAAAGTTTATGGTGAACTTACCTCCGAAGGCCTGTATGAAGCCATGGTGTAGTCCACGGAAGCCAACTCAATAAAGTACTTCGACATGGCATGGTGTTCATCTTCAGCGCCGGCAGCCTTCGAATAGCGCCGCAAGAAATGAATCGGCAGCGGACGCGACAGATTACAGTCTATGGCCTTAAAGATCTGTAGCTCCATTTGGCGAATCTGCCGGGCTGTGTAAGTGTCATCCGTGATAAAAACAAAATCCCCGATGGCTGGAGGGAATAGCTCCTCGTATTTAGTAGCAATGAAAAGAGCTGTCACTCCTACCAATTGCAAGAAAGTGCGCTTAGTATCCTTGACTACTTGGAGATAACGATCAATAATGGCCACTGCCAGCTGGAAGGTTTCTGCCGCCAGGTGGAACTGCAGGTGGACCTCATTGATCCAATCGATCAGCACGGCACGCATGTTGTGGGACACCTCCTTTTGTCCGGCCAAATGATCCTTGTAAATAGTCTGCTCCTGTTCCACCTGGTACAAGTAATCATAGATATCGTTTACATATTCAGAGACCAAAACCAGGTTATCTTTGTCGTTGGCATCAATATCCTCAATTCCAGCCAATCGTTTGCTGGAAAGAGACATTGTGGTTGGCAACGTCGATGTGGTTGTAGTGATAAGACTGCTGGTTTTAACTAGAGGCATCTTGGTAACTTCCTTCTTGGCTTCTGGCACTTCCTTCTTAATTTCTGCCTCTTTACGGACAACTGCCACCGGACGAATTCCGGAAACTCCCATCATGGGTTTGGCCAATGCAGCGCGAAGTTTGGTCAGCGATTTCTTTGACAGATTGCTGTCCTCGCGTTTTAAGGTGGGCTCGTTGACATTTTCGGTGGAACTAGGCTTGGCTGTAACTAGGGATTTGAAAAAATGGTGTTATTGCAATGGTTATGAGTAGTGTATTGAATCAATTTAAAAGTTATTTATGTAAAAGTCCAAGTTTATTTTTTAATTATAGATTTAAATTTGATTACTTACCCTTAACAGGTTCAACCGTCGTCTTGGTTGGAACGCGATTTCTTACTGAATTCGAGCGCAAAAAGGCCGCCACGCCCGCTTCGTTCGTCTTGGGCGGAGCGGCGGTATTGCCATTAGTGGTGGTTCCCACGACCTGTTTCTTCCAGTGAGTGTCCACCCGAGCCTTGGCGTTGCGAAGGGCATCTGTGAGCTTGAGATCCTTGGACCTATTACAGATAATACGCATATGATGGACGATTGAACTTGCAAAAGTCAATTATCGTTCACTTACTCTTTCTGTGCGGCATCTTTAGCAGCAATGGCGCGAGTTACACCTCGGTTTTGTAAATCTCCCAAAGCAGCGCGTTTTGTTGTTGCCTCCTGTGAAGGCACCGTCAATTTCTTCAGTTGCACTTGCTTGAAATTCTCCGAAGCGTTCTGAAAATAATTTTTAGTAAAATTAATTAAACTTCGTTTAGTTTAATTTATGATTTCTTAATGTAACTACAAAATCTCAGTATTATACTTTATTTAATTAAATATTTATTTATTTAATTAAATACAGTATAAGCAAATATTTTATTTAATATTTTTAGAATTGACATTTTTAAATAATGAAATCAAATTTATCTATACTGCGGCCATTTTATAAAAAGAACAGCAAGATTTATTCTCTATTTATCTGCTTTATGATTATGTGCGAAAACAAAGAGTGGAGGGCAATAATTAGCGGTACAAGTATCACAACTGGAAAATTGCGCCAAAATGTGACTAAAGGAATTACAACAACAACAAACCGAGAGGCCTAGGACAAACGGTACTCTTTCACCCCCTCTTCTACACACTCTCTTCTCATTCTCTTTCTCCGCTTACTCTTCGTACCCTATTCTTGCCCACGCTGCAATGGCGTCGCAATGATAATGAGCCCGCTATATTTAGAACTTTTATAAAATCTTTTTACAGTCCCTTTTTAATAATTTAGAATAAACTCACCTCGTCGCCGCGCAATTTTAGTGTTGTGCCCACCATTTTGATTATTTCTTTTTATTTATACAAAGACGAGTAACACACAAAGATCAGCGGACGCCAAATATTTTTATAACTTTTTTTTTACAATTAGTCGCGTTTCTTTTTTGAACGTCGATTTTGGTTTAGATATGGAATTTGTTGTCCGAACAGTTAAATAGATAAATATAATGTACAATTTTAAAGTCGAGTGTTGCTGAGACTTAGTCAATCCTCCGAAAACCTGATCGAGCTCACGAAGCGATGCCAAGCTGCAGTTTGAATTTGAAAATGCAAAGCCAGAATGATATAATGTGACCGTCGAAGATAATCGAAAAAGGCGGCGTTGCATTAATCGATAAATCAGTGGTTATAGAACGTTTGGTATATAACAAGGTATATTTTTTTTTTGAAGTATGTAAATAAGAAGTAGAAAATTTTTGTGGTATTCTATTGAATTGAATGGTATTTGTAATGGTGTAAAATCCAAGTAAGTTCCAAGTTATTTTAGTTATACTGCTCTTTTATTTTTTTACTTTTCTGTACATATAATTTTCATCCATGTTAACTAAACCAAAAATTATATGTAAAAATATTACCACCTAAGCAGTGTTAGTTTCGATAATTAATAATTGCTATCTATTATGCTATAAGAATGACAATTTAACAAGCAGTTCCAGTGTAAATGAAGATATCCGAATCAATTTTATACCACATCACATTTTAACACATCTTAGCTATCGCCTATCGGAATTCACAATCGAAACAGTGCTGCCTATTAAATTTAAATTCAAATTTGAAACTCACTCATAACCGAAATAATGTAAATATCATAAGATTACAATTTATTTAATATTAAAGATTTTATGAAAAACGGTTGAAATATTAAATATGAAAAGACAGTTGAAAGACAATTAAATTCCTATTTTAAATGCTCAAACTTTTTGATTGATAATGTCTTTGCATTTTAATTGAGGCATCGCTCTGACTGCCCCTCTTCACAGTGGCCGTTGCATCAGGCACTTATTGCTTCAATTAAAAGTTGATCACTTCAATTGGCTGTGTTCGGTTTGTTTTGGAGCCTCCCTGATTTGCATTCACTGATTTAAGGTTTCCTGCTGCCACAGGCCGCAGAACATCGAAACTAAACAGCGGAAATGCAGCATAATTCTTGCCTCTCCTCAGCCTTTTTTTGCTGATGATCAGTGTCAAGTTTTCGTCTGCTCCATCATTTTCAAGCACTTGACCACAAAACAATCGCCTCAGATTTTTGCCACCGTTTTTTTCCGTAAGACACACACATTTTCCTTTTTTTGTTTGGCCCTTTGCTCTGTCTTAACGGTTGGAGCATTCTTCTTCTCTTCTTCCGGCGCTCTGGCTCATTAGCATATATTTATGAGTCGGTGTTGGTGTTTCGGCTCGGAGTGTGCTTTTTTTTTTTAGCGAACTCTAGCCGAAAAGCGAAGCCAAACGAGAATCAAGCGTCAAGAGCCAAGCGCCAAGCGACGATCGTGTGTTCAAGTTTTCCGTGATTTTCACATTTCATTCGCAAAAGTGCCGTCGTCGCGAGTGGTTGATTGCCTCGCTCTCGCCCCGTCTCTTTCTGCAACTCTGCAGCCGACTCTTTCATCTGCAGCCCCCTCCGAAAAAAGTCCTTCGATCGATCCAGCGCGCACTGACCTCCACTAAATCGTTTTAAATACCCGACAAACGGTCAGATTTCGGAGTGATTTAGCGATTTTGGCTGTCGCTGAGCTTAGTTTATTTATTTGTATATAAAAATTCATTTCGGCTATGGACATAAACCAGAAGATCGTTATGCTCCAGAGACGATGATCTATCTATATGGGTGCCGTGTGTGCTTGTTGTTGCTGGCTGCTTAATTGTGCGCTGGCGTTTAAATAAAAATAAGTGCGTTTAAATGTGAAAACAAAAGACTGGCATTATATGTACATATTGGCAATCCAGAACAGCAACCGTCTGTTGTCGGCCAATAAATTTGATTTCAAGCACCATTTCGCCTTATCTCGAGTGCCGATCAATCTATAAGGAAGAACTTAGGCAACAAACTAAAGTTAAGTAAAATAAAACAAACAGAAAAATAGAAAACCAAATGAGATAGAGTGAGTGCAAAAAGTGGCCCACAACAAATGAGTTGTAATGCAATGCCTGGGCAATTAATTAGTGCATAAACAGTTAAATTAACTGCTGTAAAAGTGCAGAGCCGCACACACGATCGTGCCTCTCTCTCGAGAAATCGCGGCTCCTGAGTTTTCCACCCTCGATTTTCGCAGCTGGAAAATGTAACTCCGAGCCTCAAAAAGAAAAAAAAGAAGCACAAAATTATGACGCAAAGTACCGAAATCGGTCCGAAGCCTGAGGAATAATATATTTGCAATTTATGCAACAATCGTCGCTTGGTTGTTGCACCAACAAAGAGCGATTAGTCTACTCGGAGCATTACAATAGCCAGCTGAAAAGTCCCAGAAAACGACATCGTCAACGCATCGTTATGACTGTCTCAGCAATTGGATCTAATCGGCACCGTCGTTTGGCTTTAATTGTTTTGACCACCTTGTGGCTGCTAATCGATGCCACCGCTGCCTCCTCCGCCTCCTCCACAGCAAGTCCGAAATCCGTCAGCATTGAGCTGCGTCGAAAGAGGAGCTTCCACTATAATGGCATTGAGGTGAGTCCCGATATCAATCAATTGTGGCTCATTGTCGCACCATGAGCTATGCATTAGCTTTGCAGGTGCACTTCGCATTTTAAGAGTTGAAAGTCAAATTCGTTTATTATTCATTGCTAATCTATAGAATGTGTCGCGTAAATTATTTCTTTGTCCTCGATTTTTAGTCATTATAATGTCACATCTCTGCTCATAGCTTAAGCTTGAGGTGACTCAGGATATCAATCAAAACTTGTCAATGGCCTTATTTTCGGGTGATATGTGATATATAATATCTCGGTTCGATCATGTGGAGAAATAAAGTATGTCAAGAAAACTTGCAATTTGCAGTACAACTTTGGAATAAATCATATTTTTTTTTGTTTATTAACTAACTTTCTTAAAGGAATGTAAAATACTAAGCATTGATGGCAAAGTGAACGAAAACAATTATATTTTTTAAATAGCTTAAAGTTGTTTCAGATGATAGCCACATAAAAAAGTTATTTATTTTTATATCTTTAGTTATATCTTTGTTAATATTCAACCTATATCTTTGATTACATTCGATTATAAACAAGGAGGCACTAGCATAATTGTAAATATAATAAAAATGATAGATAGGTACACAATTTCAAATTACATTTCATAGATTACTTGTTATAAATTAGTAATAGAGCTAAATTCCAGTAACTATAAAAGAGCTCTTAGGTAAATAGTAAACTATTTTCCCCAGTGTAAACGTTCTTGAATGTCATACGATTAACCCATTTACAAAAACAGGTGATCATCCATCTACGTATGCGTCAAGTGACCAATAAAGAGCATACAAAATCGCCATATAGACAGAACATGTAAGCCGAAAAAAAAAGAAACCGAAAAAACGCAAAAACATAATGTCTGACTCAACTTGGGTTTGAAAAGCTAAGCAGAAAAATTGCCAGGGAGTTCCAGGGGGAAAATGTGGAGGTTGAGGAGTAGAACGAGAAAGATGAGACGTTGAATGACCTCTGCAGAAATGGGCGTTGGAATATGTTTTGGTAACACGAGAGCTTTAACCCAATAAACATTAGGCGACAACTTGTCGAATTACACACGACTCGTGTGATGTCTCGGTCAACCTCTTCTAGCCCCTTTCCCGAACTTTTCCCAAAATCCCAATGCTCTTAATTTGAGCTTCGTCTGTATTTCAGGAATTCATCACACGATTAATGGGAATTGCAAACAATATTGCCACCAGCTGGCTACTGCAGCTGCCTCGAAATCATGAAAAATTCTCAGACATTTCCCATGATTTGGACTATCCCGAGTGACAGGCGGTTCCCTCTTGTTGTTTTTAGCCAAGTTATTGACCCTTTCGGAAGACACACTTTAGAATCGTTCGCTTGGTTACGCTGTTGATTACGTGATTTTCCCCCTTTTTTGCATTCGCACTCCTTTAGTTTCTTAAATTGGCCCGAAGGCAATTTTCTGTGATATAATTTCCACGTGTTGGTTTCTAGTTTTCGCCATTTTACCCTTATTTTTCTTGTACTCTTATTTTCCGCTCTTCTCTCCTAGTTTTTTGCTCATTGTGCCCACGGGTCACGCAAAATTTCATCACATAATCAGCTTGGCGGGTGATTACTATGAGCATACCTGCACTTTTCCGCTTTTCCCCCTCTCTCTTTATATCTCTCTCTCGCTTAGTTTTGTCATCGGGTTATTGTTGCTGTTTGTTTGGGGCTTTTCCGGCAATCGCCGACTCTTTCATGTTGATTTGCTCTTTTTATGCTGTTGCCCTTGCAGCCAATTAGTGTCCATTTCATCGAACATTGTTTGCCTTTGGCAAAGTTCAGCGGAAAGATTTGGAAAAAGTTAAGTAATACCGGAGATCGGAAAAGGGTATAGGTTCCTCAAGGTGTGGTCTCTATATCATGGGCCTTTTCAACTGCAAATAAAGTTTTTGGTGTAAACTTTACTTTTTAGAGGTTTTAGTCAATAAAGTGAACTTATTAGTATATATAGTTTTGTTTTTAAAGTTTTTAGTTTTTTTATCCAGGGCCAATAAATGTCCTAACAGCACTATCTTCAGCCTAAATGGAAATATTTAATTAAAAGATGTAACTAAAAGTTGTCATAAATATGAAATCTCAAAAAGGGACTCGTGGGAAATTGCTAAAAACCAAGTTAAGTTATAAGGCAGTGACTTATGTATGAATATTTATTTCATGTCATATCTCAGGCAAATAAGATTACAACAGAACTTACATTCTATGGTTATGTTAATTAAAATTAATAGGTAAACGTAGTAGCATTTCCTTATAGTATGTTTCAAAGTATAGACTTTTTTAAGGCTAACATAAATCTTCCTAAAACTAACACCTCTCGGTTTATATAAAAAATGTCCTCAAACAAAAGCATCCCATTTTTATCTGATATCCCCGGTCGTAAACGATCTGCCACGCCCTCTGTGTACAGCTTTACAATGTTGATAATAAACATTCCCCACAACTTCAATTTGTAACACCTTCTCCTACGTCGGAGGCGGAGTTTCGATTCGAAGAGCCGCAACGCTCTTCACGCTTCGCCGGCAGCAACGCGCTTTTCCACAAAAGCCAAATAAAGCCGAATGAAAACTGTTACAACAAATTAAATTAAATAATCGTGCAAACAGGCGCACGCACCACTAAAATCGTACCAGATATATATAGGCGAATGTAGGGCCGGCCAAGTTGTATATATTAACCAATTTAGTCCATGCTGCTGTACTAACCTTTCCCCCCAATGATCTGGTGACCCCAGCACAGCTGTTTGGGCTGTCTAATTGGGGTTTTCTTTCAATGTACAAATTTCCCATTGTCTTAGTGAAAGTATTTTTTAGTTTTTTTTTTTTTTGGGTGAAAAAATAACTTGAGAAAACCCTTCTCCATGGGTGCTCGCATCTGTTTTGGTCTGTTTAACGCTTTGCTGGCGATGTTACACTTTCCGCTTTGCATATTAAACATCATTCACTGCTCTTTCTCTTTTTTCTTTCTTCTACCATTCCACTGCAGCTGGACGAGAACACTCTGGTGGGCCATCTGAGGGAGCACGAGCGGGCCCTGATCTTTGGCTCACGATCTCCGGAAGAGGGTAAGTGTTGGACCCCAGGCACTGGCTCGAAAAGATTCTTAACTCTGACCCATATACTGCGTCAGATGGTATAGCCAGTAAGACAGTGCCCAACGAAACAAATCACTGTTTAGCGACCGACGTGTAATTATTTCTATAAGTGGGTACTCCAAATGTGCTTTTCCTTTTACGTCAATATATCCATGGCCGAATAAAATCACAAAAGCAGTCATTAAATGGGATTGTTATTGGTAATTGAATTTGGTTTTCGAATTTTGCTTAAAGGAATGTTCTTTGTCTGATTTGTTAAAGTTTGTATCCTATTAACCTGTTTATTAAATGATATGTTGGTGTTTTATTATATATATATCCTTAAGGTATATATATATATTATCATAATCTATGCTTATCTGCTTTATAAAAGTTCCTAAAAAGATTGAGATTAAGATTTTTGAAAGGGCCAATATTTATACTGCCTACAAAGAGTTTACAAAATAGATTAGAGATTTGATTAATAATAAAAAAGAACTTATAATGATCATACAATCTTAAATTAGTTTCATTAGAAAAGCATAGAGTGTTTCAGTTTTGGTACTAAATTTGGCTTATAATTTTTTCGAGTGGGTCAAGTCTTTTAGCCATGACCCATAACCAACTGCAACATGTCATTAGGCTAGGAGGCGAAACATCAACAACTGCAATCAATGAATGCTAAACTTGAACTGCTAACTGAAAGCTGGTGCCGAGGGGGTGGGTAAGGGTGGTGTGGGGGCGTGGAAATCTGCGCAGTTGTTGGCATTGATCCATGGCAGGCATTTATGTTGTTTGTTTACCTGGCAGCGCCCGAATTCAAACTCGTGCACTTGGCACAACAACAGCAGGAGGAAATTCCCCCAGATGGAGTACAGGTGACGGACGAGGTGGAGGAAGAGAGGAACCCCCAAAAGCAACGTCAACGCCGCAGCCTGCCTGTCGAAGGTGAATGGAATAGCCCAAGTCCCCATACCGCATCCAAAGCGAAATCCAGAGAGCAGTTCGTGCTGCTCCAGTTGCGGTCATTATGCGAACAGTTTAATTAATTCAAATGCATTCGGCAGATGACGAGCCACCGCTACCGCCACCAGCCGAGGAGGGTGAGGAGGCAGTGGAGGCCCGGTTGCAGCTGCAACAGTCGCCGCAGCTGATCGACGATGCCTTCATCTTCATCCGCCGCACCGAGAATGGAACGCAGTTCGTGGAGCACTCCCCGCAGCTTCTCAAACGCCTGGAAAGATGCTTCTACCGGAGTCCAGCCGCTGCTCTCGATCTCTGCGAGCACGGCAATGTGGTAAGTTGGGCCATGGCATTATTTTAATAAATTCATTATTTTTGTGATAACAACAATGATTATGATACAAAATAAACACATTCCGATTAAAACGGTCTGTGTTTTGATTTGCGGGAGTGGGTGATGGGTTATCCCCGCCGGTTATTAATTTTTCACGCCTCGATCCCCGCAGCGCGGCGTGTTCCAGCAGAATGGCAGTGACCTGGTGATCCATCCGCTACCCTCCCGCTTCGGCACCGGGACGCATGTGCTCTACCAAGCGAGAGTGGACAAAAGCGGCTACAGTGGGACGTCGTCAAGGCGAACGGCGCAACCGTTAGACAGCCAGCTGCAGTTCGAGCCCGATGCGGAGGAGTTCAACGAACCGAGGAGGCGATTGCGGGCCCAGACTCAGGCTCAGTCCCCGTTGAGATTGCGCTTCCAGCCAAGACATCATCATCATCATCATCACCGCAACAATTATCGAAGAAGCCGTCGCTATATTGGGAATCCTCCGCGCTCCCGCTGGTCGGATATTCCGGAGGAGCTCTTCATTGAAACAGCCATCTTTGTGGACAGCGATCTCTATGCCCATATGCAGAGGAACTTTCCCACGAACACGGACAGCAAGGTGGTCAGTTTTCTGCTGGCCATGATCAATGGCGTCCAGTTGCTATATCATCATCCCACACTGGGTCGTAGGATTAACTTTGTCCTAAAGCGTCTGGAAATCTGGAAGTCCTGGGATCCACCGGGCCTGGTCCGTTCCAGGGATGTGGAGAATTACCTAAATAGCTTCTGCAAATGGCAGGAGAAACTGAATCCCTTCTCTGATGCAGATCCCCTGCATTACGACCATGCTTTGGTTTTGACCGGTCTAGATCTGGTGACCTATGAAAAAGGCAAGTCCAACAGCCAGGTTGTGGGCATGGCCACGGTTAAGGGAATGTGTACTTCTATATATTCCTGTACGATCAACGAGGCCAAGCACTTTGAGAGCGTCTTTGTAGTGGCTCACGAAATCGGTCATAAGTAAGTGGTATGGTAATTTGGAGGATCTGTTATTGAAAAAGCTTTCTCTTTCAGTTTGGGAATGAGACACGATGCCAAGGAGATTAGCTGTGATCCCACGATGCACATCATGTCTCCCAAGTTGGGCAGTGGCAAGGTCACCTGGTCCAAGTGCTCCAGAACCTATCTTGAGGATTTCTTAATGTAAGTTAGGTTCATAATAGTAAGTAAAAATCTAAGTAAAATTAATTTGCAGGGACCCTCAGGCGGAGTGCCTTTTCGACCGTGACCAGTTCGATGGTAACTGGGATCATACTGCTGGTGGCCGTCTTCCTGGTGAACGCTTCAATGCCAACCAGCAGTGCATGTTGCGTTTCGGTAAGAACTTCATGCAGGCCAGCACCCAAAGCAAGATGGAAATCTGTCGGGATCTCCACTGTCGGCAGGATGGATTGCCCTGGACTTCGCATCCTGCCCTCGAGGGCACCGAGTGTGGGGCTAACATGGTAAGGCAAAGATCTTGGGTATCCAGGAAATGAAAAGGAAATTAAATTTAACCTTATTCCTTGAAAGTTTCCTTCCCTTATATATGTTAATTTTGTGATTTTTTTTCTGCTAGTGGTGCCGCGGTGGCTCCTGTGAGGCTCGTTCCTCCAAGCAGGGAAGCTATTTGGCACTTAAGTCATGGCAATCTGAAAACGTTCCCGAAGCCACCCACGAGAAGATCGTCAGACATGAACCCAACCGGATACCGCCACTACTGCACGACTACAATCCTGTGGGAAATGAGCTGCCTGGATCGCCTTCAAATTGGGGCGAATGGAGTGAACCAAGTGCCTGTGAATCCGGATGCTTGTACGGCCTGTCGCGACGGCTACTGGAGGGCAGCACAGGACTTCGAACCTTCAACAGGAGCTGTTTGAACTTTCCATCGCGTTGTATGGGCAGGGATCGGCGATTTGTGACCTGCAACTCGCACCAATGCCACAAGGTGCCGGTGCAGACCATAGGGGACTTTGCCAGCCAGGTGTGCATGCAGGCGAGGAAATCTGATCCAGATCTCACAGGTGAGGGTCAGCAGTTGAGTAGCACGCTGGATGCTTCTTGTAAGATCTTCTGCCGCACTAAAAATAATGGCACCAAGTCCCGGCGTTGGACATTTCCCGATGGCACAACCTGCCAATCGAAGCAGCACAAGCCGGAGGATATTTCCTACTGCATTTCCGGGCGATGTGAACGCTTTTCCTGCGATAACTCTACCTCGAACTTCTTCAAGATGGACAATAGCTTCTGTCAGGCGAGATCAGTGCGCCCGACCAGAGATTCTTCCGATCAGGAAAGCAGGCAGCAGACCACCACCAATCAGCGATATGCAGAAAGGCAGGAGGGAAATTCGATAAAAAATCTTTTTGAAAATGGTAAGGGCACTTCTGTTTTATTATACTAACAAATAAGTAATTGTATTCACACCCACAGAAGTGGCCAAACGTCCTTCTTATGGCCAAGGCAACCATATCAATGCCCCTCCATCACCTTATAGGAGGAGGACCTACCACAAGTCCTATCCACCAGAGATATCGCGGCCTCCCCCGCCGGCTTCTGCATCACTGATCGCTCTGGATCGCAGCTCATCCGCTGAATCAGAGTGGGTAGTGCATCCGGGTTGTCATTCCAACTGCATGAAAGATTCAAAGGGTGTGCAGGGTGTGACCTCGCGGCTAACTGGTATAGAGAGCATCCAACTCTGCTCATATCGCATTCAACCCTGTGAACGTTTGCAAACGGCGGCTGAGTTTGCAGAGCAGACCTGCGCCAGATATCGCCAGAAGGTGCGAGGGCTATCCGGACATGGAGCTCAGATCTCGGCCAGCATCGATGAGCCGGATCGGAGTTGCCGCGTGGGCTGCCAAGATGAGTACATTAAGTATAGATATTACCTGGTAAATGGCCGGAATGGACACTTTCCTCCGGGCACTCGCTGTTCGCCGGTGGGCAAGCGTTATTGCGTATACGGCAAGTGCCTGGAATTTGGCGACGATGATTTGCCGGTGGACAAGACCCACATTAGCTTGGGTCAACTGAGGACACGCCGAAAAAGGAGTTTGCCTTCCAATGATTTATCAAACTTAACGGAGATTTATAGTACTGCAAACCTTAAAGAAACATTATCAGGTGAGTGGCTAGTTAACTTAAAGTCAATTTAATTTATTTTTCGTTTCTTTCTTAGATGTCTCCGACGAAAACATCGAATTCACCCAACCCATTCACGTCTCCGCAGACGAACTGAGTAGCAAAAGCCAATAGCCCAATAGCTTCCTGGCCACATTTCCCTTAGTCGATTAAGTCCTAAGCTAGCATAAGCTCAAGGCTGCCCAAAAAACTGCCCAAGAAGTATATATGAAATAATAAAATGTAAGAAATATAGAAAAGTTTTTTATTAAGTTGTTTTTTTATGATCAAATCCTATCAAATTCTTTGATAATATTATCTATAATCTAGGAAAAGGTTTATTAAATTGCAATGCAAAAAATGTCGACAGATAATGATAGTGAAATTGAAATTGAAAATTCGTTTGCGGGGGGACCCGCCTTCACTTTTCAATATCAGCTACACTTCAACCGCTCCGCCACCACCTGCCCTTACCAGCGATTTTCCCTATTGGTAATATTTGTGTAGGTTTCCTTTTTTTGGCGTTCGCATGCAAACGATGGCAGCAATTACCAATACTCAATACCAAAAAGGGTAACAGCAATCAGCCAAACATTCACACACAAACACGACTTCCGCTGGTGTGCGTGAAGGAAAAAATTAGATAAAACACCTACGAAACGCTGAATATGCCACAGTCTGCAAGGAAAGCGCGCGCCGTGCAAATCGAATCCGAATCCGAATCGAAACGAAAACCAAGTCCCGAAAAATTGGAAACGCGAAAAGCGTCGGAGAAATCAGAAGTCGGAAAAAGTGAAGTGTGTGTGGAAACGCCTTGATTTGTGATTTTGTGTTTGTGCTGAGTTGCCTTGCACATTGACCATCAGCAAAGGGTCAAAACGTGTCCCTCGGGTCATTGGTTCATCCTGTCCAGTTCAATGCACCCAAATGGAGTGCACTTTATGCAGGCAGTACTAGATTCCATGAATATTACATTGATCAATTATAGACTCATATGCAGTGCAATCAAAACTACTTAATTAGAGAAAATATAACCAAGCAATTAGTTTTAACCTCAGACAAATTGACATTGACATTTCTATAGCCTCTTTTGGGAGCGATTCAAATTTAGGTCAGCGCTTTTCTTTTTGCTTTTTTTAGTAGGCAGGGGTGACGATAAACCTTGGAAGCTACTCACGCAGCTCTCTGGGGAAACTGTGTCAAGTTGGTCTTAAAATTTTGACCACACGCAAGTGCGTACTAAACATTGTAGTGGAGTTACTCATCAATTGGCTAAGCGGGTAGCACGTGCTGTCTTTTCCTCAAGGACCTTGGGGCAGGACGCTTTGACCTGCACCTTTTGTAAATATATATAGAGAGCGGACATGGCTGCCCTTTTTTGTGTGTGCCCATTCCGATATTATGGCCATTCGAATTCGAAAAATCGATTTGCAGCTAATTGGTTTGTTTTCAACGTGTTTCGTTTTGGGAACTAGTGCAGAGTGCAAAAACAAGAAAACAAACCGAGCGCATTAAAAGCCCCGGCAAATTGTAAAGTAAATAAATAAAACATAAAACTCACATGTGAGGAACACAGGTTGTGACTCTCAGTACGCCCCCGAGCCACGGTTTTTCCACCTTTTTCCCGGACTTTCCATTCAATATGCATACACGCAAGGACCTGACCAGTTGTCCATTTATCCAGTTGAGCAGTTGAGCAGCTGACCAGGTGCAATTGTCCATTCAGACGTCGTTGAACTTGTCAGGACAACGGTTCATCCAGCGCTAGGACTTTGGAATTTTTCAAATCGCTCCGTTTTTCCAGTGTCAAGTGACCGCATATAGCCCATGAATCCCGACGGGGGTGATGGGCAGAGTCGTGGCCTCTAGTTACTCACTAACCTAAGCTAAAGAAGAAAAGTCGTTAAAACCGGATAAGAGATACATAAATATGCCTCCAAAGCGACGAAGAAGATTCCAGGGACTATACTACCATTCATCGCCACCCAAAGGTGAGTATGCGATGAATACATTTATTCATATTCATTCATCCTAATTGAGGGAAATTGTGGTGACAACACGCCAAGCCGAGGTGCTGAGAAGTTTCTTTTTTGTGGCCAAAATTTGCATATTGCGTGCCGTTAAGGGTGTCAGCTCAACAAGTTACAATGCCAGGGGATCCGCGGGTTGATTGCCACATTAAGTGGCAAACACTAATGCGCCATTTCCGTGGCACTTTCGAGCAGTTTTTATTGCCACTCAATCGTGTGTGGGTGTGCACAGGTGTGTGTGTGTGTGAGGGCCAGGGAAATGGAATGGAAATTTAATGATTCACCGCGGCCAACTAATTTACATGTCACTGCTCAAATGGTAGTCGAAAAATTCCTCAAGGTGTTAGACCCAAAATAGATGGAGCAGAAGACCTTGACACATAAGCTATGTGAGTGTTGGGGTCGGAAAAGAAATGGAAAATGGAAATTTTCTAGCTAACAATTTCCCTTCCAAGAGGAAGTTTTCTTAATGAAAGTTCAGACTATATAATGCGGATCCTGGAAGTATGTTTAAAATTTGCTTTGAATTGGTTTTTCTTAGGAATGCTAATAGAAGAAAGAATAAGTTTTCCCCAGAGAAAGTAAAGGTATTTCACAAGGAAGCCGAAAAGTATGCTATAGAAAGTGCTGCAAATTTTCTCACGAAGCAAGGCTAGTTGCAGATAATGAAGGCAGACCTTGGCACATAAGCCATGTGTGTTGAAAGGTTTAAAACAAAGGGAAGTTTAAAGAATTTAAACGTGTGGGAGGAAGTTTCCTGAGGAAATTACAAGCTATTTTGTGGAGGAACCTTAAACAGTCGCATTGAAATTGCTTAGAATTGTTCCCCAAGGAATGCTAATCAAGTTTGAATCAGCCAAATGGAAATTCTATTTCCACATATTTGTTTTGGAGCAGCTCTAATATAAATGTTGACTTTTTCGCTTTATATAATACCGACACCCTCACACACCCACACACACACACAAGTAAGTGTTATTTATTCATGTCAGAAGTTGGAAGTGCGCGAACAGGACGCAATTATTCCTCCTTGCGACCGTTGGGTTTTGACCACAACACAGAGACCTGAATTCAACACCTTACGACCAGGCCAAGAATTAGTTTGCCAACGCGGCTCAAGCTAGCCAGACGCTAAAAAAGTAAATACAGGCATTAGAAAGCAATCGAAAGGAAAGTAGGCAAAGGATTATAATTTCTTTTTATCTTATGACATACGTATATGTATTTACATAAACATTTTTGTAAGCTGAACAATCGGGTCTAAGCCAAGATGTTTCCCATTGCAGTCATGCCGATGAATGGACAGGCGGGTGGACAGAATGGACGCAAGCGTCGCGATAATGAAGGTGCGTATTGAAATGGTTGCAGGATTTCGATGGGTGGTGCATTTTCATATCCAGGTGTTCGATTTCCAAATGCTCCGCTAAATAATTCAGTTGGTGGGCGGCGATTCTAATATGTTGATACGACGAACTCTGCGGGCGTTACCCACTTTTGCACTGCGAAAAAGTTTGGCGCCGACCTTGAAGCATTTCAAGTTGGCAAAGTTTCGCCGGCGGAAATTGTCTCAAGTTTCCACTAATGCCACTTTAAGCGAGCCGGAGTCACAAACTTGAACATTCATTGCATTTATTTTCGTTTTAATTTAGTTTTCAGTTTCGGCTTCTTGGCTTTTTTCGGCAAATTGCATGCAAACACGAACGAGGGCGAAAATGAATTGGAAATCGCAATCGGGTCGTTGGGCAGAGATCGAGGGCGGTGGCGGGGCTGGGAAAATTAATTTCCACGTTTTCAATTTCCATTTCTCGGCTAATAGATTTCTCGGTGAAGTTATCCACCATACGAATCTGGATTCACGAGAAGGACATCGGCAAGCTGACGCGCATTTTGTGGGCGGGCCAGGGAAACCGTCTCAGTCAGCAAGCTAGTAACAATGGGCGTGTGAAGCGCTTCCTGGCCGCCGTTCCCCATGTCATGGTGAGGAAGTCCTGCGTTTCCCTTACTTGGGTTGAAATTTCATTTACGCTCCCCGCATAGAATGCCATCAAGGATCTGCACCAGGCGGTCATTGACAACAATCTGGAAACAGTGCAAGCACAGCTGGAGCCTCCGGTTCCAAGTGCCTTGGTTACCTGCAAGGACGGCAATGGCCTCAATATTATTCACAAGGCCGCAGGACTGGGTCACACCAAGATTCTAGAGTATCTGGTGGGCATTTGGCCCGAGGGCGCCCATGAAACAGACATCACCGGGAAGACGCCGCTTCACTGGGCCGCCAGTGCCAAGAACAACATGAGATGCTACACTCTGCTCACCCAAGCGGGCTGTGATGAGGAGGCCGTCGATTATGTGAGTGGGTAATAGGGATGTAATCTTTTTAAAGATTTAAGAATCTAGACGAGAATCTAGGTTTTAAAATAGCTGAAACCTGAAAGCCATCTTATCTATTCTGACAGCAGGAAATTTCAAATTTGTTCGGTAAATCAAAATATCAAATATCAAAAATCTCTCTAAAAAGTAGTATTAGTATATTCATTAGATTAAGGATTTAGGTTTTTAAAGACATTTATTGTTGCAATAATGTTCGTAGTAGTAGTTAGAACTGCCCAGAGCTAACTTTCTATTCAACAATTTTTCCTAGAAATCAATAGGTGTAGAGTGGGTGCAGATGATGGCTTTTGTTTGGTAGTTGGGCGGCAATTAAAATGATTCATTGCGGCAATTTCAGAAAATGAAGACTCCCTCATACTATCGCCACAAGCCGCACGAAATCGAGCGCGCCTTCCTGGTTTATGTGCCGGATGCGCCCCGTGTCTCCCCCGACAGTGCCACCGATTGGGAGGCCTTAAGCGATGAAGGTGGAGTGGATAACGGTGCGGGAGGGGATGCCGGCTCCAAGGTGAGTGGGTTGTCTATATAACTGGGTGTTTCCCCAACCCATAACCTACTTTTTTCCCTCTTTGAACTTTAGAAACTGGACATCAAGGTGCCGCCGTCCGTGAACGGTCGCAAGTCGCTGGATGACAGCCTTGAGAACACCTCAGAGCTGGACACCAATGATGGGTAAGTGGGTGGGTAGTTGGGTTAGTTTATGGGTATCCGGCTAGTTGGTGGGTCCTAGACCCCACGATTTAGTTTAAGTTTGGCTGCCTTTTGCTGGCGAAAATGCTGCGCTGCCTTTTTGATTTGAGTTTGTGATGTGTTTTTTATGGGGCATGGCTTTGAGAGAGAATTTTTTGCATTTTGAAATCGCAGTACGAGTGCCAATGAGGACGACGATCTGTCCAAGGTTGATGCCGAACCGGAAGCGGATGCCACTCCGCCATTGCAGCGCCGACCGGAAACGCCGGCCACCTTCAACACGATCAATGGCGATGGCGAGGACAGCGAGCCTGAGGTAAGTCATCCCGCCTCTTTCTCCTTTTATTTTCCCTACTTTGTTTGGCTTTTGATGGTTAGCGGCTTGATTGCACGTTTCGAAAATGGCTTTCGGTGTTGGCAATATTTAATTAGCTTTTCCGGGGGCTTGAAAACTCTGTGAAAGTAAGCCATTGTCGGCTCTAGCTTCTTTCCCTTCACCCCTCTCTCGACGGCACTCTGCGCTTTTTGTTTAGAGCCCAAAAAATCCCAAAATTCCCGCTGTACATATTTAGGCTGAGATCGAAGGACCGTAGACAGAAACTGTTGAATCACTTGGAAAGCAATCAGTCGACAATTGTTTACTTTTACAGAATATTGCAAGAGCTGTAAGCGCGGATGGAGGCGGAGAGGCAGAGGAAAACGGAGTTGGGCAGGACGAGGAAGGAGACGGAGACGGAGATGAAGAAGATGCGGCGATCGTTGAGAATGGCGGAGGTCATGAGGAGGCTCCGGAAGAGGAGCAGCCAGCTGAACCCGAGGAAGTTGAGGTAGCGGAGCTGCCTGAGGAGTCTGCTACTGAGAGTGAGCTTGAAGGAAACAAAAAGACTGATGATGAGGAGCCAGATAAGGAGAAGGAGGCTGCTGAGAATGGTGCGAATGAGCCTGAAATGAGCCCTGTTGAGAATGGAGCGGAACCGGAAGTGGCCGCCATGTCCGTTGAAGAGAAGGAAGTGGAGTCCGAGAACGATAACGACGACGACGATGAGGTACAGATGGGAGTGCTCTAAGTGTCCTCGAACGTTTTGTAGTTTATTCACGTTTATTGTGTGTGCCGTACGCTCAACCCATTTACCCCCCCTCTTCAATGTGAACCTGTCAAATGAAACGCAACCAAAAAAAAAATTTTAAGAATCAAATAACAAAAAATAGAATATATCAATCAGATGCAGCAGGCACTTAAATTCCATTCCATACTAATTTGTTTTACCACTGCAAGAGCCACAGCAACAGCAAGAACTTCAGCCGCAACCCAATCAGCAGCAAAATGCGAAACTTTAGCAATCAACTTCAACATAAGCCCGCTTAGATAATGAAAGAAGCAAAACCTTTAGTAAAATTCTTTATATATCTCTATACATACATACATATATATATATATATTTTGTAAAGCAAGTGTTATGTTCAGCTCTTTCGAAATACAGTTTGAATAACAATATATCTAGCCGTAGCCATTATAGTAACTGTAACCAATTAAAAAATGGAATGCAAAACCTGCAACTTGTGTCTTTTGTTTATCGTTTGTTGTTTTCCATTGCACCCGAGACCTGCCCAACCATCCGTGTGTGTGTGTTTGTTTGTTTCGATTTCCATTTCCATTTCCGTTTCCGCATCCGTTTCCCTTTCAGTTTCACTTCTGTGTGTTATTGCCTTAGATCGAATCAATGCCAGTGTCTGCCCCCAATTTGTGCTTATCGATTGGCTGAAATCAGCAGCTGTTTACCCACAGATAGACTTTATAATAATGCACTCACTATAGTACGGGCATGTACTCCTACATATGCGCAGGCCAAGTTGGTCGGTTTCACTTTCGCCCGCCTGACATTTCGACTGTTAGACGCGAACAATGGCGGACTGAGCGGAGACTGAGGTTGAGTCGGGTGCAGAGACGGTCCTCAACTGTCAGAGGCATCCAGTTGTTGGTGGGTCCGAATGGGAACTGAACATGCAAACGTCAAAACAGTTGCAGGCATTAGATATATGATATATGATATTTGATATATGGCAAATATACAATATACCGTATGTAAAGTGCGCCTCGAATGCAGTTGCAGTCCCTCGAGCGATTTGTTAAGGATAATGGTGGGCGTTGCTTATGGCAGCTATAATAATCTATTTCCAGATGCATTTCAATAAAAAAGGGGAAAACCTAGGCGTATGCGTGATATTGCGTATACGCTATGTTGGCTTGCAAACAAGTTAATTTAGAGTGAGTGCCTAACAGCAGACAGACAGGGTCATTAATTAGAATGGTTTATGGCTATTGGGACTACCAGTCTTTAATGTCTGAATTTGATTACGTGCTTAAATTCCTAATTACGGGTGTATAGAGTGGGTTCAGAACTGGCATTGTCACCTGTAGCTGCACTTAGTCGTTAACGTTGTTAAGAATAAATGTATGTACGTTTTTTAATGTATTTATGTGATTTTGCACTGTGTAGCCCAATCCAGATCACTGTCCAAGCATAACAAAAATAATATCTTAAGTGGTGAAATAAATTTAAACAGGATGTAATAGCTTCAGAGAGGAACGGAGAGAATCAGCAGGAGGATCGGCAGCCAGGAGGTGGAACAGAAGCTCAAGTGGAGGATGGCAATGAGTCTCTCACATCAGCAATGGCCATTGAGGGCTTTGTGGAAGGTGCACCCGAGGATTATACAGTTCAGTCTCAAACTGCAGTTAATGAAGTATACAATGCCATCCCTTTCTCTTTCTATCTGTCTATCTATCTATCGCCCTTTGTTGCTGGCTCACCTAGCTTGTTTTTTGGGTTTGCACCAAAGTCACCCATAATGCAAACCATCGAGTTCTTTCTATACCCAGTATCATCTCTAATCCATCACCCTTAGCGCTTCAATGATGCACAACGTTGTCTTTGACTCACCATCACCACCATCATTATCATCTCATTGGAGATGTTGCTTTTACTGTTTTCCGTAGGATGAACGCATTAGGCGGATTGTGGAGTCCGGTGACTTGGAGCAGTTGGCCGAGATTGTGCTGAATGGCGAGGGTGGTAGTTTGGTTGGCTTGAAGTCCCAGGAGCCGGAAATCCAGGCCTTTCTCAACAACGTACCCAGTTACATGGTAAGCAAAACGAAAGCCAGTCAGGAAGGAAGTAAGGAAGAGCCACTTTCTGGCGCACTAATTACGGCATGCATCATATTTTCCATTGGCAGGAGAAAATACATCGCGTGCACGATGCGGCACGTGACGGAGGTTTGCTGGCACTGCAGCAGGCTCTGGATCGCCGGAAGTTTGCCATTGCAAAGAACGACATATCGCCCAACGGCTCCACGCCTTTGCACGTGGCCGTCCTCTTCGGCCACACAGGTAGGTCTTCCCACTCCGTCGGTTTCTATTTATATGATTGGTTTCTCACCCCTAACCGCGAGCCAGATATCGTTCGCTACTTGGCATCGCGTTTTCCGGAGACCATGACAATTACGGATAATGACGGACGCACGCCGCTTCATTACGCAGCCACAATTAAGGACAATGGTCACTTCTACAACATGCTCTTGCAGTTGGGCGCCAATCCCAAATCGCTGGACAAGGTGAGTGAACGAAGGAAATAAGTCTGTTAAAGTGAGTGTAAAATCAGTTTGGAAAGCTAAGAGTAGAAATAAGCTTTATTAAATCAGGATTTTTTTATACATTCTAAAAGTTAAGGTAATACCATCATTTATTCATGGTTGTCTTCTTTCCCTGAGTGTATCAATTCTTCCAGTTTAAGCTGAAGTGATACCGTAGTTAAAAAACAGAAAGACAGTTAAGAATAGAGCCCAGTTTGGAGTTGTTTGGGAATAGCTGCAGCTGTAGTATAGCTGTAATATCATTTTAAATGACAAATGAAAATTGTTTTTAAATTACTCACAACAAAACCGGAATCATGAAAAGTGGGCCAAGGCTCGTCTACTCCTCATGACTTTCAAATGCCTGCTGCAATGGAAATCAATATGCCATAAATTTGTGATTAGAACGAAATAAATAATGAAAAGAGTTTGATTTAAAATTCAATAACCAAACACACGCAGCTGGGCCACTCGGCCGAGTTTTACCTGGACAAGGACAAGGCGAAAAACATTCTCAACTACACCGAGCTGCTCAATATATTTGGGGCGGAGGAACTGGAGAACCAGTTGCTCAACGACCAGGGTAAGAAAACATAGGGGGCCGTGAGCCATCGGCAGCTGTTCCAGCGTTCCAACTTGACCGTTCACCAGGCACTGTCCACCACCTCCGCCACCACCAACACACACCACCCGCCATTAAACCCACCCGATCCACCACCCATTCTCCAGATAGCTAAGCGCTATGCCATGCCGCTTTGCTTTCTCTGTGGCTTTAGTGGCGTTTTTGTTTTCACACTCGCTTTCGCTGCCCACACTCGAACACACACATGCATACCGGGGGTAAACCGAAATAATTAAATACATTTGTTTACCAAGTCAAACATCCGGCTGTGTGTGCTAGAAGGGGGCGTGGTCGGGTAGGAATGGGAAACTATAAACTATAGCCAAGGGGCTAACTGAACTCGGCGCGAGCTTTGGCCAAGTCAGTCATCGATTTTCAGTCGCACCGTGAACACACTGCGTATACGTGTTGGATACTCCTGCGAGTAGTCGGTCGGTTGTCCGCAAAAATGGAGGGAAATCGAAATGAATTTTTCAACGAAATCATTGGCAACATTGATGAAATATTTGGTATGTAAGCTAACTGCACAATCCCGGCCAGCACCAGCGCCTTTTATCTCGATCACCCACCCAGATATCCTTTCATCTGTAACTGTCATGGTTTCGGTGTTCGTATCTGTATCCGTGTGTTTGTCTACGCTTTGGTGTCTTAATGTGTCTGCTAAATGATAATCGTCCAATCCAAAAAAAAAACATTATAATCTATGCTGCTCCGGAAACCCTTGAGCAGTCCCCGACGACCTGCACAGTGCCCGGCGAGAACTGCAGGATGGCGAAATCTCAAGGACTTTGGAGCGCTGCTATAGCGTGATTTCGGAATCGGGAAAACTCTTGAGCGGTACTACGGCATCGGCTCTGTCTCATCGCAAGCCCCTGAGTGCCTCTTCGTTGCAGCTTTCGGTGACTAGCTATCTGAGTAGATTCTTAAAGAGGGGTGTCTATGAGAAAATCAAGCGGAGGCAAACTCGACTCGATCATAATCTCTTCGATGTCCTGTGGCCTGCCATGAGGAAAACTTCCAAAGCTCGCCATCTGGAGGAGGATATAAATTGCGGAATTATAGCTCCAGATTTCGATGTGTTTGTGGTGTTCCAGGAGTTTCTGGTGCCATTGCTAAAAGATATGCATTGCTTGAGTATTGATGCCGATTTTAAGCCACAACCCCGATTGGCTTACTTTCCAATGGACAATGGGGAGCGACTCAACACGGCGGCTTTTGTCTTTGATGATGAATCGCTTTTGGTCACCCGTTGCTTGGTTGAGGTCTCCAGGAATCTAGATCAGTTGGAGTTACCCTTGAACCTAACAATTGGCCAACTAGAGCAAGCCGAGCGCCTGATGATGAGCAAAATATTCACCACCCACTTTGCAGATGCCATTGGCGAGACGGATTCGGGAAACTATTATACCATGACCGAGCTCTTGGAAACCGATTCGGAGGTCACGATGATGCTGAGCAGTCTGGGTCTGATGATTCCCCTACTGGATACCAAGGATCTGGTGCAGGCTGCGGAGTCCACAGCTTTCAATGGAGCCCTTTGGCCCTATGGCAGGGGAGTTTTTGTTAACTCAGCCAACAATTTGGCTGTGTGGCTAAATTGCCAGGAGCACTTGAGAATCATCTCTACAACCAGTAGCAAGGAGCCAGCGGATATGGGAGCCGCTTATACGAGAGTGGGAAGAGCCATATCCTACCTGGAAACCCAACTGCACTTCAAGGAAAGCTACCTTCTGGGCTACCTTCAATCGAGGCCTAGTTATTTGGGCACCGGTCTCAAAATGACCACCATAGTTAAGCTGACCAATTTGATGAAGGAGATGGACAATCTGCGGCATCTGTGTTCTGTGCGAGGATTGAGTATGGTGACCAATCGCCTTTCAAAGCTCACCGTTCGCCTTGTAAATATGCAAAGCATGGGAGTGGTGGAATATGTGCTTTTCCAGGACTACTGCACTGCAGTCACCAATATCCTGTCCCTAGAAAAGGATATGTCACTTACAAACTCCAAACACATTGCCACCATGCTGGTGAAGATCTTCAAGCGCAAGAAGAACAGCATCGTGGATCGTAACTAAGAAAGTGGACTAAGTTCCATCTCTATGTACATAAAAAAGTAAAGAATACCTCAGCACACTAAATATTAAATGCTTATACTAATTCGATTGATACCTACCTCGTGCCCTCATCAATAATCTCCTCCGCTTACTCTGCGTTTAAAGTTAATCCGTAATCGTAAGTTCCGCTTTGAGTTACACCTACATAGTCGTATCCGTATCCGTGTCTAGCTCGAAGAATGTGATCTTGTCACGATTTCAATATGATTTGCAAAGTCTCTTGAGTTCCACCATCGGCATCCTCATCTTCGTTTGTTTACCCCCTTCCCGCCCCAAAAAGTACTCCCCCTCTCGCTTTGTGTGCATAGATTACTGGGACTCGACCCACTGAGTGTGACTGAAGCTATCCTGGGCCTTTGGAGTGACTAATCCAGCTTGTTTTCCACACAGGTCAGGCGCAGCCAGTGAGCTTTCAGGCCAATCCCATCTTCAAGACGGAGCAGGGCAAATATCTAGCTGATTGTAAGTAGAATACAGAGGCAGAGGTTAAATTCCGTTACTAAGTAAAGCTTATAACAAAAGTCTTATTAGAAACGTAACAAATCAGAAGTTCTGAAAGAAATTAACAATTAGTAATTACTCCACTTCTCACTCAGCTCTTGCCGATCCATTGATTAAGGCCCTCACTGAGATAGCCAACAAGAGACCCCGAGATCCCGTGGCCTATCTGACCAACTACCTCCAGCACTTCATGGGTGATCGCAAGCCAATGACCGAAGTCCAGGTCCACTCTGGAAGCAGCAAGGCCAGCACCAGTTCCACCTCCACCCTGGCAATGGCCAAATCGAATGCCAGCTCTAGCCAGCGTCTGACCAACACTCGGAATGGTCCTGGTCCAACCAATGCAGATCTCATAGAACTTGATGCTCGATCCTTGGCCGAGGAAGACGATGCAGAAGGAGTCCTGGCGGTGCAGCATATGGAAGAGCGGGATGAGCATGGTCAGAGTATGCTGCACTTCGCCTGTGCCCGTTCCCATCGGAGAGGAGCTCTTTATACGCTTATTGAGGAGTCGGTTATTGACATCACCTACCGGGATGAGTTGTACCGAACTGCTAGGGATGTCTCGCTCCAAGCAAATCAGCCCAACAATGCTGCCGAAATCGATCGTTATGTCCTGGCTCAGGCAGTCATCGGTGTGTTAACCATAGAGTAATCTTCTCAAGCGCTCTTTTAAGCTTTTTGCTTTCTTAACCAGGTGACGTGGAACCTTTCGAACAACTTGCTCTCCAAGGCTATGATCATATATTAGACATCGAGGACGAAAGTGGTCAATCCATTGTAGATGTGGTACAGTCCCGACAAAACGAGGCTCTTGCCGAGTTCCTGACCAATCTTCGGGGATTGGAGGAGACTCGTGAAGAGCTCCATCAGATGATCAGGGAAAACAACATGGAGCGAGTGGTGGAGCTGACCAATGTTGCCAATGCCAAGTGGTTGGTTAAGACCAAGAACTATTATGGTAAGAAAAGACTTAATACCTTAGAAGGATTTACTTAGTTTTATCTAATTAACCTTCAGGTCGAACCGCCTTGCACATAGCTGTGCTAAAAGAGTCCGAGGAAATGGTTCAGCACATGGTGAAGATCTGTCCTGAGGCTCTGAAAATTCCGGATAACGTAAGAAGGGACTCTGTATCCTAAGTTCAGCTTTAATCATATATTTCTTACTCAGTTGGAACGCACTGTATTGCACTATGCCATGGGAACTAATGCGCTGGAGAGCGTTAGTCGGATTTTGATTCAGAACGGGGCCAAGCGGACGGCTAAGGACCTCAAAGGACGGCAGCCAAGCTATTACTTTATCAACAAAGCGGATATATTACGTCTGCAGGAAGAGGAGGAGGAGAGCCGCTGAGTGATCGAGTCAAGCAATATGTATAGTCTAAACTACTCTAAGCCGTTATATAGTCCAATAAAGTACAAGTAAATAGTAGTCCGCTATCATATTGCGTACCTTGTACCTCGGTTTTTTGGAATGTTTTGAAAAATTGTGGCTAAACATGAGTCGTTACTGATAAGCTGGATATGACTGAAGAGGCTGATCAGTTGGCTATGTAAGAAGATGTTTTCGACCGGTTGATGGTGTCATTCCATTTAGATCACATCCTGATTACAAGCTTCTTAGCCAACCTAAAAGCCATTCGTTGTCTGCATGCCTACTTATCCGTAGTGGAATCGCTATCGCACTTCTAGTCGAGTACAAACCATCGGTTCCATTGTTGCGTATTACCTTATCAATATCGTGTTTATGAAGTGCCCTGATTTGGAGCTCATTAAGCGGGTTTTACTTGAAAGCTGATGACGGTTTCGATTGGCTCTTTAATAGAAAATGGAAGGTGTAAAGCGAACTGTCTGCATTGTTATAGTTGAGTTTTATTTAAATCATTAGCGTGTGTGGTTCGATTTAAAGTAGTGCGGATATGACAGCGGAAATCAATAAGGGTTAGTGGTCATCAAGGTCCTTAAAGAGTCCTGGTTGAAGCTGAAAACTTTCTGTTTATGATATTCCAAGGCTGCTAACTAATAATATTTAAACAAAGTGTAATTTAAAATATTCCAATTAAATAGTGTAGCAAAAAGCATTCTCATAGTGAGTTGCATAATCTAAAATAATGGATTTTGTGTTACTTTTATTTCTTAGTAGTTCAACGTGGCAACTGTTACTAACTAATTCATTAGCCCTAAAACAGTGGCGAAATTAGCATTTCGCTTAAGGGGATTAAGTTAATTTTTCGTAGCATACTTTTTAATACTTTTTAAATAATTTTCCACTTGAGGATGGTACTTGAAATCAAAGTCCATTTCGCTTAACCTCTCCCTGTTAATTAATAACTAATTAATCTGAAGGGCCGTTGAAGTCCATTAATTTCTTAATCATATCATTAGGCTTCTTAAGATCTTTGATTCAAGTGGTTTCTGAGAACCTTAACCGTTTTTCTCTGTAGAGATATAGGAAGAAAGCGAAAACAGCCAATTGATTGGGATTACTTTTAGCTTACAGTTCTCAGAGTAGGGAGACCCACTTAAGTATGAAAATTAAAGGACTTATTTCTTATCAAACAGGTCCGATGCTTGGCCAGCGCCACATGCAGTCTTTCTTGCTGTTCTCAGCAATCGTGGTCAACTTTTTAACCAAGTTCAATGCCGGAGTGGCGGTTGTGGCAATGACCGATGCGGAAAGTTCTAACCCGGATTTTCCTGTAAGTTTAAAAATTCTTATACGAAGAGAAGTACATTCAGTTAATTACATTGAATTTTATTAGGAATATGATTGGAACGAAATGGAGCGGTCTTACATACTGTCCAGTTTCTTCTGGGGATACATATTGACACAATTCTTGGGTGGATGGCTGTGCAAACGTTATGGAGCCAGGATTACCATGTTTGTGTCCACCCTTGGTTCGTCTGTTCTGGTTGTACTGGTTCCCTGGTGCGTTTCCTGGGGTGGCTGGCAGGCGTATTGTGCTCTTCGAATGGCAATGGGTCTCTTCCAAGGATTCGTCTTTCCCTGCATTCACGCTCACTTGGCCAACTGGTGTCCGGTGAATGAGCGTAACCGGCTAGGAGCCTTGGCCAACATGGGCATCGATGTTGGAACCCTGGTGGCAATGTTTGCCAGTGGATTAATTGCAGCCTCAAGCATCGGATGGCCCGGAATCTTCTACGTGTCCTGCGGTTCAGGAGTTTTCTGGTGCATCCTTTGGTGGATTTTCGGAGCGGACACTCCCAGTAAATGCAATTTTATTAGCGAAGCGGAAAAGAACTATATCGAGACATCAATCAGATCCACTCACAAGGCACAGGGTGCCTCTTCCAGCGAAATTCCAGTTCCCTGGAAGGCCATTTGGACATCGATTCCTTTCTGGGCTTATATGATCACCAAATGCTGCCAATCATGGGGATTCTCCACCCTCCAGACTGAGATGCCAGCCTATATGAACGGAGTTCTGCTGATGGACATGAAGAAAAACGCTCTCTATTCGGCTTTGCCTTATTTAGCCTCCTGGATTATGGCCTTCGTCTATCTGATCATCGCCGATATCCTGCTGACCAGAGGCATTATGTCAATCACCGGTATCCGCAAAACTATTAACTCAATTGCATTCTTCGTGCCCGCTGCTGCACTGATTGGAGTCGGCTTTTTGGATAGTGACCAGAAGACCCTTGCTGTGGTGTTGATGTGCGCCAATGTGGGAGTCAATGCTGGATCTACGATTGGGTCTACTATAAACACCATTGATTTGTCTCCTAATCACGCTGGCATCCTTATGGGAATCGCAAATACTGCTTCCAACGTTATACCTATTATTACGCCAATCCTTGTCGGACTTATGGTGAAAGATAGCGTAAGTATGCATGTTATATATGTTAAATATGCAATTTTCGTAAAAAATCAATAGACTTATGTGAAATATAGTAAGTTAACTTCCTATGTAATAACTCCCTAATTGTATCATTCACAGCATGATCGCCAGCAGTGGCAAACTGTGTTCATCATATCCGCTGTCGTGTTTGTTGTGGGCGACTTAATCTATCTCGCCTTTGGTCAAATGGTCAGTCAACCATGGGATGCACCCGATTTTCTGGATAATCAGCGATCCTCCAAACTGCAAGAGGAAGGGAACTCCAAGGCTTTGGAATCCAAGCAGAGCGAGAAATTGGAGGAAGCAAACCTGAGCGGGAAATCGGAAGAAGAACAACAGAACGATAAATTGCAGGAAGTGAAGTTAAAGGATATAAATTCTGAGACTCCTAGCGAGAAACTGTAAGATCATGTGTAAGTCAAACTATATACAGATCGAAAAACTCACGGCTGGTCCGCAACTTGTTTACGTTCTTTTTTCACAAGTGTATAAATTAATATAGTTATAAATGTATTCCCCATGAGTAAGTTAAGTTATAAAATAAAAACACTTAAATTAGTTTAAATGCTGCTTTCTTTACAACTTTCTTTCTAACAAGAAATAAGTTTACATTTAATTGGATAGGCAGCGTTCAAGTTCCATGGATGTATTCTAATCAGATCACCTTAAATCAAAGTATGCTCCTCTACCGAATGAATGTGGTAAATAACATCAGGTTGGTAACTGATATTTTTAGTGTTAAAAGTTTTATTTAGACCAAAAAGTATTCTTAGATTATAAATACTTTAAATTGAAAGATCGAAATCACATCGTAAATACATAAGAATCAATATAAATGCTCTTTTCAAGCCGGATATAGATGTTATGTGCACACGCGTACTCTCAAGTGTTTGTTTTATTTCCTAGTATAGAGCCATTACAAGGTCTTGAAAAAGTTCAAGTGTGTATAAGGTATTTCCGAAAGGTCGCTCGTGCCAGACGCCCTGATTGATTGGACAACTTTTGCTATCAGTCGAGGTGCTTCAATCGTAATCTTTGCGATGTTTTGGGATGGGTTTTCAGCACAAGTCTGAAGGATCCCACGGGTAAGCATGATGCAGATAATTGGCATTGACCACCGATAAGATTAAACTTAAGTCTCAGCCACTGAAGAGGCCGGACAGATATCGCGGCTTTGACGGGCAACAGTCGATAGAAAATCAATGACGTCTTCAGAGTTTTACGACTACTCTACTTCAAGGGGGCCTTTCCCTTTCTATTCAGTATCGCATCCGGATTTCAAGCGCCTACCCACGACCCACCCATCTACCACCACCTTCAAAGCCATTCGTCTGACGCTATCAGTGCTCTACGACTACGATTTTTCGGTTTCATTGTTGCTTTTCCGCCTTATCAATATCGTGTTTGTGGAGTGCGCTGATTTGGTGTCCATTTAGCGGGTATCACTTGAAAACTGACAGCTGGTTCGATTAGCTCTCCGATGAAATGGAAGGTGTAAAGCTAGCTGGCTGCGAGCTAAGAGTTGAGTTTAATTTCGATCCTTACCGGGAGTGGTACTAATTAAGTAGTGCGGATATGACGGCGGAAACCAATACGGGTTAGTTGAGGGTCCTGAAAAGGTCCTGCTTAAGGTCTCTGAAATATAAACTAATGGAATCTTTCTTCTTGGCAACGGTTTCCAATTTAAAACTTTTAAAAAGCAATTAATCTGATTTTAAAGTCTTTAAATTGCCTTATCAAATCTTAAAGTAACTTAAGCCTTTGATTTAAGTGTTTTTCAAACTGGTAAGCAACTGGTTACCATCGAAAAATATATGGAGGAAGCAAAAACTGAACAGCCGATCGATAAGGTTTTTTGGGCCAAACAGTGGGGGAGTTTTGAGACCCACTTAAGTGCGTTACTTATGGGATTTATTTTTGATTGATAGGTCCGATGATCGGCCAGCGGCATTTACAGGCCTTTTTGCTCTTCCTGTCTATTGTGGTCAATTACATGGCCAAGTTCAATGCTGGAGTGGCTGTGGTGGCAATGACAAATGCCGAGAATACTAACCCGAATTTTCCTGTGAGTTTAAATGGGTTTTCCTTAAATCCTTTAACTAATTTTGCGATTTTCGATAGGAGTACGATTGGAACGAAATGGAGCGGTCTTACATACTGTCCAGCTTCTTCTGGGGATACATATTGACACAATTCCTTGGCGGATGGCTCTGCCGACGGTACGGAGCCAGGATCACCATGTTTGTCTCCACCATTGGATCTGCTCTCCTGGCCTTACTGCCGCCCTGGTGTGTTTCCTGGGGTGGCTGGCAGGCTTATTGTGCCATTCGGATGTCAATGGGACTTTTTCAGGGTTTCCTGTTTCCCTGTATCCATGCTCACTTGGCCAACTGGTGTCCGGTGAATGAACGAAATCGTCTAGGAGCCTTGGCCAACACGGGTATAGACTGTGGAACTTTGGTGGCCATGTTTGCTAGTGGACTACTGGCAGCCTCAAGTGTAGGTTGGCCTGGAATCTTCTACGTTTCCTGTGGCGTAGGTGTTTTCTGGTGCATCATCTGGTGGATTTTTGGAGCCAACACCCCAAGGGAGTCCAAGTTCATCAGCGAAGCAGAACTGAACTATATTGAGACTTCGATCAACTCCAGTCGCAAAGCAGAGGAGGCAGAGCAAAAGGCCACTGGACGAATTCCCGTTCCATGGAAGGCCATTTGGACCTCGATTCCCTTTTGGGCTTTGATGATCACCAGGTGCTGCCAGTCCTGGGGATATTCCACCCTCCAGACCGAGATGCCAGCCTACATGAATGGTGTCCTACTGATGGACATGAAGAGCAATGCTCTTTACTCGGCTCTCCCGTATTTAACCTCTTGGATTATGGCCTTCGTCTATCTGATCATCGCTGATATCCTGCTGACCAGAGGCATTATGTCCATTACTGGCATCCGCAAAAGTGTGAATTCGATAGCGTTCTTTGTTCCCGCTCTTGCCCTGATTGGAGTCAGCTTCTTGGACAGTACCCAGAAGACCCTTGCTGTGGTGCTTATGTGTGCCAATGTGGGGGTCAATGCTGGCTCTACGATTGGAAGTACTATCAACACCATTGATTTGTCTCCTAATCACGCTGGCATTCTCATGGGTATTATTAATACTGCTGCTAATGTTGTGCCTATTTTGACGCCCCTGCTCGTAGGAATCATCGTCAAGGATGATGTGAGTTTATTACCATATTCGAAGAAATCTGAATCTTCTAATCTTCTATTTTTATCTTTAACAGCACGATCGCGAACAGTGGCAAATTGTGTTCATCATATCCGCCGCCATCTTCTTTGTGGGTAACATAATCTACCTAGCCTTCGGTCAAATGGTTAACCAGCCTTGGGATGCACCCGATTTTATGGATAAGCAGCGTTCCTCGAATCTACAAGAGGAAGGAAATTCCAAGGCCCTGGAAGCACAGCAAAGTGAGAAATTAGAGGAAGCGAAGCGTAAGGAAAGTGAAGCTGGCCTAGAAAGCAATGGAACCAAAACCAATGACGTAACTGAGGAAAGCCTTGACCACAACTCAATTTGAAATCATGGGAATATCAAATTTTACCTCGAAACCTAGGAATTTTACTCCCGGCTGGACCGGAACTCTTTTTTATCAATAGTTTTTATTCAGTAGCTAAAAATAAGTCATATATTTTCCCAATGATTGCATTAAGTTGTAAATATAGATTTTTTAATGAATGACTCTACGACCTTGTTGACTTACCTTTCGGAATTGAGACCATCAAGGCAGCGCCATCTCACTTCATTATCAATGAACACTGATTACTATAGGAAACATTGATCGTAAATAAGCAAGCAATTGACGTGGGCGTCATGTGAAAAGAAGATCGATTGGTTCTCCAATTAGTATGACATATGTTTTAGCTACCAGCAAATTGAATTCTGATAAGACGAGATGTCGTACAAACGCGGTCTTTCGATAAGTACGTGGGAACATTCTTCTCAGAGATAATACAGGCCATACCTACATTACTCTGACCTTTGAGTTGTTTTGCTTCTTTCAAATGATATGTGGCTTTTCCAGATGCTAAAGATATCAGCTTATCATGTTGAGAACCCTAAAATTAATATTAACTAAGGTCAGTTTTTCAAAAATTTAAAACACTGATAACATTTGGGATAATAATACATAGTACAAATTTGCTTGACTTTATTAGTGTTGTTAGTAGATTTGCTGTATCTGCAAATTATATTTACTAATCTCAGAGTAATCACCAGCATTTCTATTTTCGGTGGTTTATGATCCTAATCGCGTGCCAGGTTCTCTATACTCTCTGTTTTAGTACGCACGCGTTAGAGTCTTATCAGAGGATAATCTGATTGATTAGCTGGGAGTCGATTAAAAACTCGTATGATTAAAATCGCGGCAGGGTGCGGTATTCCAACGGTTCACTCGAGTTCAATTCGTCAACCATTTCGGCCGTCAAAGGGTCAATTCCCCATTAACATTTCAAGGATGTCAGCTGAAATAAATAAAGGTAAGGAAAACTATTTTCCAACGCTGCAATTTGCTAATTAAATAAATGTTAAATCAACTAACAGAAATTTAAGAATCTACCAAAAAAAGAATATTATTTTGTGTTGATCGAGTCAACGGTTATATTTCCTAATTTAATCAGTAAGAAAGTAAAATTAATACGAAAAGTACTTTAAAAGTAAATGTTGATTAGGGAAAGGGAAATTTATAAACTTTTTAAGTGCTCGGCGCCTAAAATAAAATTTCTGCTGAGAACAAATTATGGACTTTAATCGTTGTACTTGGAAAATGTCTATAAACATAACATACTTTGCAGGTTTCGTTGGCTGATAAACCCCCGCCCAATTCGCCAGCTGGTGAACCAGTTGAGTTATGATAACATTTCTTAAGTGGACTTCAGATTTTTCTCTTGCCTACCTACCTTCGAATTCTGAAGTACTAGCGATAACAACAATATTTATTTGCGATTACAGGACCCCTGCTGGGAATGCGACATGTTCAGACCTTGCTGATTTTCCTCAACATAACTTGTTTGTATATCGGACGCCTGAATGTGGGAGTATCCGTTGTGGCCATGACAAATGCGGAGTCTACAAATCCGAAATTTCCAGTAATATTTTAGATTCTATAATTATCCTTTCGCTTAACAGTTTCCTTATTTCAGGAATATGATTGGAACTTGACAGAAAAGTCGTATATACTCTCCAGCTTCTTTTGGGGATATATTTTCACCCAGTTCCTGGGAGGGTATCTCTGCAAGCGGTATGGAGTCAAGAGTGTCATGCTCTGGGGATCCTTTGCCTCGGGCGTCTTTAGTGCTTTGACACCGCTTTTCATCAGCTTTGGCGGATGGCGAGCTTACTGCGGCATAAGAGTCCTGATGGGCTTTGCTCAAGGACTGATCTTTCCCTGCATTCACCAGCATTTGGCCAGATGGTCACCTCCGAACGAGAGAAATCGTTTGGGAGCTCTTAGCCACACGGGAATCGAGTGCGGAAACGTGTGTGCCATGTTCTTGAGTGGAATGATAGCCAAGAGCCCTATTGGATGGCCAGGAATATCGTATGTCTCAGCTGGATTGGCCTTTACATGGTGTGCATTCTGGTTCTTGTTCGCCGCCAATAACGCTGTAGAATCGCGTTACATAGGAGAAGCGGAACTAAACTATATCGAATCGTCTTTGAAACATAACGAGGACTACCACAAGACCATCATTCCGATTCCCTGGAAGGCTATTTGGACCTCGACTCCGTTCTTGGCTCTTCTGGTGGCTCGTTGCTGCGAGACCTGGGGTCTGAGTACCCTACAGGCCGAGATACCAACCTATATGAACGGCGTTCTTGATATGGACATGAAAAGCAATGCATTCTTTTCGGCGTTACCGTTTTTGGCCATGTGGGTTATGTCGTATGTTTACCTGATTACAGCCGACGTTTTGCTTGCCGGAAACAGGCTGAGTCTAACGGCCCTTCGAAAGACCTTCAACTCGATGGCCTTTTGGATTCCCTGTGCCACCTTGATTGGTATTGGTTTCCTGGACCAGGAACAGAGGAATCTAGCCATTGCTCTGATGACCATCAGTGTGGGTGTGAACAGTGGTGCTACGATTGGTACCTCCCTGAACACCATAGATCTATCACCGAATCACGCCAGTATCCTTATGGGCATAGTGAATACAGCCGCGAATGTGGTTCCCATAGTAACACCCCTGGTTGTAGGTGTAATCGTCGAGGAGGAAGTAAGACTCTTTATCTTAATAATCTGGCACTTTTTAACACTTTTCCATTTCAGTCAAATCGTTCGGAGTGGCAAATCGTTTTCATCATCGCCTCAGTGCTCTTCTTTTTCGGAAATTGCGTATTTTTGTTCTTTGGCACGGCTGTGTCTCAGCCTTGGGATGCGGAGGACTTTCTCCAATTGAAGCAGCCTGAACTGGGTATAATGCCAGCTAATCGCGAAGCATCCAAAGATAACCACGAAATGCCTAAAGAAGTTTTAGGGTCACTAAATAGTTAATGGAGATGTATCATTTTTCATATTTATATTATATATGAAATCTTGTAAACGTTATAATATTCATAATTTGTATACTCGTATAATAATAAATATTGTTCTTTATTTATGATTAGTCTAACTAATATCCTAAGTATTTATCAGGGTGGCACTATTTCTGATATGACGTATTCATATAATTTTTGTAAATTTAATTTGTAAAAAAATCCTAATTTTTGAGGTCGCTTTTTCATCAAAGTTAAATATTTGCCCGCGATTTGACCTTATCGATTAATAACGTTGCAGATAAGCCAAAACGGCTTATCGGCTTATTCGATTTGGATTTAAATCAACATGATGTTACTGCAGCCATTCACTTTTTAACCTACTGTGCTACGGATCGGTCGATTAGAAGTGGTTGCCAATTAAGTCCACGATGACGGCAGAGATTAACAAAGGTGTGTGTTAAATTAAAATCCTTCCGCTTGGATCGGCATTTGTGAATGGATTAGGCGCCCCACGAACCTAACACGATTTATACGCCCTTCAGAAGTCAGACATTGTCCTCCACCTGAGAAATACCTGGGTTATTCGCACGCCCATTGAGTGGTCATAAATCATTCCAATTATGGCTGCGATAACGAAGTCTCAAGAGCAATTCAGATTTATTTGCCCAACTGCTTGCCGGCAGGAAGTACTCGCGATAATGGCAGTTGTGTTTCTTTATTTTTGCAGGACCCGTGGTGGGCATGCGGCATGTCCAGGCCCTACTGATCTTCCTCAACATAACTATTATGTTCATAGGTCGCCTGAATGTGGGTGTGTCCGTGGTGGCAATGACCAATGCGGAAACAACAAATCCAAACTTTCCCGTAAGAACTTGACTGGTATAAAAAGAAACGGCTAACCTCTTATCCCCCCATAGGAATACGACTGGACGGAGGCTGAGAAGTCTTATATACTCTCCAGTTTCTTTTGGGGATACATATTCACCCAGTTCCTGGGAGGTTACCTCTGCAAGCGTTTCGGAGTGAAGAGTGTGATGTTCTGGGGTGTCTTTGGATCTGGAGTGTGCAGCGCTTTGACTCCCCTTTTCATCGGATTCGGAGAATGGCAGGCGTACTGTGGAATCCGGGTGATTATGGGTCTGGCGCAGGGCGTGGTGTTCCCCTGCATTCATCAGCACCTGGCCAAGTGGTCTCCTCCGGCTGAACGAAACCGCTTGGGTGCTCTTAGTCACACTGGTATCGAGTGCGGCAATGTGAGTGCCATGTTCTTGAGTGGAATGATAGCGAAGAGCTCGTTGGGATGGCCTGGAATCTCGTATGTCTCGGCTGGAGTGGCTTTCTTGTGGTGTGCATTGTGGTTCACCTTTGCCGCCAACAATCCCACAGAATCTCGTTTTATTGGACAAAATGAACTGCACTACATCGAGTCGTCTCTAAAGCACAATGAAAAGTACCATAAGACCATTATCCCCATTCCCTGGAAGGCGATATGGACCTCGGCTCCATTCCTGGCCCTACTGATCGTACGATGCAGTGAAAACTGGGGACTGAGCACTCTGCAGGCTGAGATTCCATCCTACATGAACGGAGTCCTCGACATGGACATGAAGAGCAATGCCTTCTTCTCAGCACTTCCATTCCTGGCCATGTGGTGCATGTCGTATATATATCTGATCACAGCCGATGTTCTCTTGAGTAAGAACACAGTTTCCCTGACTGTATTAAGGAAAACCTACAACTCGATAGCCTTCTGGATTCCTGCTGCCACTTTGGTGGGCATTGGCTTCCTGGATAAAGATCAGAAGAATTATGCCATCGCCTTAATGACCATCAGTGTGGGCGTGAACAGTGCCCAAACCATTGGCAGTGTCTTAAACACCATTGATCTATCTGAAAACCATGCCAGCATTCTGATGGGAATTGTGAATACAGCTGCGAATTTCGTGCCAATAGCTACTCCTTTAGTGGTTGGTTGGATTGTAGAGGATAATGTAAGTATCTGAAAGTTTAGTGCATCTTTTATTTTTTGTTTTGTATCTTCTATATTTCCTTTTAGTCTGATCGAACCGAATGGCAGATTGTGTTCATCATCGCATCTGTAATCTTCTTTGTGGGCAACTGCGTTTACCTGTTCTTTGGCACGGCTGTAACTCAACCCTGGGATGCCGAAGACTATCTTCAAATTAAAGAACCTGAGCTTGCCCAAGGACCTGCCAGTCTTGCGAAACCTAAACAGGATTTCTCTTTGAAAATCAACGAAAACACCAAAGATAATGCCACAAATAGATAGTTCCAGTTTTATATGCTTTATTCCAAATTTACATATTATATATAGGCATGTTAGGATAGATTTAAGTTATTTACGCTAACTCAAAAATAAAATAGTTGGTACTCAAATTTTATTAGTTTTTCAGAATAGAAAATTACACTATTAACAACATAACAGATAACAACATATATCAGCAAAGTTATACGTTCTAACTAAATTTAAATTTGACTCACAACTATTGGGATTCCTTGGAATACAAATCATTATAGCCAACCGATAAAGGAGATAGTACATGGATGGGAAACGTTACTGAAGTATTTTAACGGTTGATACTTTAATTAGTTTTTAGCGCTCTCTAGATTTTAGAAATTTTTAAGGCTGTTAAGTGCTATTTGTAATTGCCATAAATAGTTAATGCTAGAAGTTCGATTACGATGTCTGAAGAGCCTTTCTAGGTAATATAGACATTTTTAAGATTACAGAACACTCTGTGGTTTGCATATGCCATATAGTCTTTAGAACCATACGTATATGGATAGCCATTGTTCAGTTTTAAGAAACGATCTGTGTAAACTAAAACTCAATTAAATAAAATATCGCAAAAAAATCAGATGCTGCTTCAATATAAAACGATTTTTAGATCTGAATAATAAAAAGTTTACCTTTAGTACCTAATTTATTAGAACTAATTGTTTGCTTACATTCCAATCCTACTAATAAAACCTAGCATTAGCATTCGTTCGTCTTAAGGATTGATCTTTGTCAACACACTTTATGTAAGATTACAAAATCTGCAAGAGATAAAATATCACTTAAAACAATATATAGATGTGAAGTGTACATTAAATTTTAGTCTATAAATATTTTCAGTTGTGACTAGTATTTACTTTTCTTATAGTTATAATTTGTTTTAACTGATAAGTTAGAGTAAAGTTCTTATTGCTTACTATCGCCGGCGTAATTTTTGTTTGGGGAATGCCATTTCGGAACCAGAGGTATTTAGCAGAGCTGCCCAAAGCTTTAAAAAAACAAAACAATTTTGATTCTTTTGCGACGATCAGAAAACACCTTAGAGAGCTTTTGAATCCCTAAAAAGATAATAAAAGCTCCTAAGGTAATCTAAACTCAAGTACATTCAGCTTTGGCTCATAACACACTCAGCGAAGTTAAGGGGAATCACTGGCGAACTGGAGTGCAAAGGCATTGGTTTGGCTAAGATTAGAGTTTTCTTTAATTTAAAATTCTACAATAAATTGACAGGAACATTATAAATACTTTGGCAGAGTGGCTGGGCATAACATCGATTAGATTATTTTTTATTTAACTGGTAGCATCGCTGCTCAGCTGCGTTCCACGAGATTAAAGCCATAAAGAATCGTATTCCAAAAACTAAATAAAATCTTTCATTTATGGCCTCTCTTCTGGCTTTGGTTAAAGTTTGCCTTTTTGCTCTTTCCGCTTTCCGTTTTAAGCTTTCAGCGGATTGAATTTATTTTCACTGGGACCTAATGTCTGTTGAACAAAAAGGTTAGTTGATAATCGGGCTATAAATCTTTTGGGCAAATAAACACGTCGCTGGCAAAAATGGAGTGTTGGGGGTGGGTGTGTGTGTGTTTTTTTTTCAGCTACTACTTTGTGTAAATCCATCAATATTTACTGATAATACGTAGGAACATATGCATATGCTTTTTCAACAGGCTGGAGAATAGTACAATGGATCGGATACGTCAGACGGCTTCTGGAACGAGGAGTTGCGTCAAAGTTTTCCCGATCTTGTTTGTCACAGAACCATCTCTCTGGGGACTCACCTGCGAGTCCCCGGGCAAACAAAAAACAAATGTGAATGATATCGTCAAGAGGTCTAGCCGAAACTTTCAAAGCTTTCCGCTGTCGTATAAATGTTGGGAATACAATGGCGATTGGGTTTAGAACCATTCTACCAATCTAGCAGTGCAGACCTCGAGGTAAACTCGACAAATAAGTGTTCTTAGTGGACTAGCTTCCTGGTTTTACTTGGTGATCATGACCCATAAACCATGCAAGGGCCCTCGCCTGGGCGTCAGACATCTTCAGTCGTTTTTGCTCTTTCTTGGCCTGACTGTGATGCACATCGCCCGTCTAAATGTCAGTGTGGCCATAGTGGCCATGACCAATGCGGCTACCACGAATCCGAATTTTCCGGTAAGTTCAAAGTGATAAGTTTAGCTATACATGTTAGCTGACGTGGCTGCTTTCCCTCAGGAATACGAATGGACGGAAAAACAAAAGTCGTATATTCTCTCCAGTTTTTATTGGGGCTACATCCTGACCCTCTGTCCTGGCAGCTTCCTGTGCCGTCGGTATGGCGCCAAAGTGGTCCTCTTCGTGGCCAGTTTTGGCACAGCCGTGTTCAGTTTGATGACTCCGTGGTGCATTACGTGGGGAGGATGGCAAGTGTTTTGTGCCATCCGAATCCTTCAGGGCTTGTTTCAGGGAGTGATCTTTCCCTGTGTAACAGAACACTTGGCCATGTGGTCACCACCAGAGGAGAGGAATCGACTTGGTGCCTTCAGTTACACGGGCACTGATTGCGGCACAGTGTTGGCCATGTTCATTAGTGGCATGATTGCCAAGGGAGCAATGGGCTGGCCGGGTATATCCTATGTGTCCGGATCACTCTGCGCCGCCTGGTGTTTCCTCTGGCTGATATTCGCCTCCAACAATGCCACCGAATCACGATTCATTGGTGAGGCTGAGTGCAAGTATATCGAATCCTCGCTAGAACATAACGAGGATTTCCACGATCGCACGATACCCATTCCCTGGAAGGCAATCTGGACTTCTGTACCTTTCCTGGCCCTTCTGGTAACTCGGTGTGCAGAAACCTATGGGCTAAGCACACTGCAGGCAGAAATACCATCCTATATGAATGGAGTTCTCAACATGGAAATCCAGAGCAATGCGGTATTCTCATCGCTACCCTTCTTGGCCATGTGGCTGTTGTCCTATGTCTATCTGATTGCCGCCGATGTGCTGCTCAAAAAGAAAATCCTTTCCCTGACTGGCGTGAGAAAGGTGTTCAATACGCTCTCCTTCTGGATTCCAGCTGCCGCCCTGATTGGCATTGGATTCCTTAGCGAGGAGAACAAGAACCTGGCCATCATACTGATGACTGTGTCGGTGGGCGTGAACAGTGGAGCCACAATCGGAAGTTCCCTGAATTCCATCGATCTGTCACCCAATCATGCTGGCATATTGATTGGCTTGAGCAATACGGTGGCGAATGTTATTCCCATCCTCACACCACTGATTGCCGGAGAGATCGTGGCCGATAAGGTGAGTCAACCATCAAAAAATAGGAAAAAACCCAAATCAAAAACAATAATAAATATTTCCCAATTTTATAGCACAATCGCGGGCAATGGCAGATCGTTTTCGGACTAGCAGCTGTCATTTTCTTCGTGGGCAACGTTGTCTTCATCATTTGGGGAACAGCCAAGGCGCAGCCCTGGGATGCAGATGACTACTTGAAACCCAAAGATCCAGAATCGGCATGCGAAAAGACGGAGAAAAGTACTCCCGCAGAGGTCGCACCACCCATCGATCCGGTTCTAGAGCAGCAAATCAGTTGGCCGGAGAGGTATACGGCAAAAGCCATCGAGTGATTTGTGGCGGAAGTGGCCGACGCCCATAAGAATTGCTTTTGTTAATCAGTATTAACCATAAGTAGGCTGTAATTTATATTTATTCTATTTATAAGGCGTGACCGTAGCGCGAGGCTTAAGTAAATTATTTTCAATCGATTCGCTTTGTTGTTACCAATCGCTCGTGATTTCGGCACTCGAATCGAGGAAGAGCCCGATCGGCCAGCGCAATCTAATCACTTAATTTATCTTATAAATGTATATAAGTACCTATATTTATTCTGGATTGGATTGGCTCATGCGACCAATTGTCAATGGCTGGGGCTAATGTTGAGTGCTTTGCACCGCCTCTCTCCCATTCTCGATGGGTTCAAAAACATTTGCCACAGCTGTTTGTGAATATATTGTATATTAAAAAATATTGTGATACTTAGAAATAAACTGTTGACTTGTTTCTCCGCTCTTTGTACTTTGATATATTTGAACTAGCTGCTCGTGGCTGGGTGAGGGGACTTCTGTTGAATGGAATATGGGTTACACTTTTGATGGGTTACACTTTTGTGTACTCTATACTAGACCTGCCTCTATCCCTTTTTATAGTAAGTATCGCGTAGTAAGACGTATCTGCTCTGTTTTCACTTTCATCTGCTGGCAAATGATGGTATTTAACGATCTAATTTGTATAAACTTATAGTGACTTATAGTTTTCTGATTATAATCAGGAATATTGTTTAATTGTATTTTGATCTATTTATATTTGTGGCTACGACTAGAACCTCTTAAGATTAACGTTGTTTACCAACAACTTTGGATTTAGATTTATGTTAATTAAGGAATCCCTGCCTGGAACCAGCCTACTTTTGAGTTGAGTAAGGTCTCTGTGCCTTATCTTATCGAAAGCTAATTTGAGCAGTAATTATCGCTTAACGATCGCATTGGCGCTTTGATAAAAAGACCAGTCTAATGCCCGGAACCAAAGTGATTGTAATTAGCTCTGGCGATTGATATAAAGTGCCTGGCTGACTGCCAGCGTTATATTTGCTATGTGATAAGAGCGAATTGCCACCAGCTACTGCGGCTAGAGCAATTCACACCCGTCATTGTTATTGTTTGTTTTTATACCCAAGTTTAGCTAGCACGAGACTGTGAATTATGGGGGCAAGAATTGGAAATAGAATAGCTTACAGCTAGACTATAAAACTGTCAATAAACCAAGATGATTGACTACTGCTTATGAGATGAGCAACGCTAAGCTCCAAATTACAGGAAGTGATTTGTTTCCCTTACTAAATCTTTTGAGGATTCTTGGAACTGTAAATGTTTTAATAATATTCAAGTAATGAAAATTGAAATGTTTTTAATTAATTACAAATGTTCAACCAGCGAAAACCTGTAAAAAGTATAATGATGTCTGAAATATTATCTTCAATACACTGTGAGCCCGCTCAAAGTTTACTTTATTTTTAGAGATAACAAGTGAAAACAGATTTTAGCCCCTATCAGACGTAAAGTATGCTATGTTTTTAAACTAAGAGAAAACACATTACTCTCTTAAACATTAATGTAAAAAAAGTGCAGTTGAATGACCAACTAACAATGGCAAGCTTGAGACAGTTTGCGATAATATACTTAAAATATCTGTTAAACCATTTAGTAATGAAAAGTGCGTGATAAAGTCATTTGGTTTAATCTCATTTTTGAAAATATGAACTTTTTCGTTAAGTATGTTTAGCTTTTTTCACTTTGTTTTAAACATTAGTTATTCAATATACTTTTAAATCTTTTTGATTTTCATTTATTTTAATATTCCTAAGTTTGGTTCAAAAGTTATGCAATGTTGCTTAAATAGGTGTGGTCTCCCCTTATTTTTGCATCCTCCCATCTCCCGATTCACTTTGAGTGCATCCTTGCTAGATTACTATCATAAGAGTGTGCAATATAAATTCCTAGAACTTGGCATCATCTTAGCCATCGGCTAGAATCAAGAATTCAAGTTTCGGTTAAGCCTGTTTTTTCGATTCGGCAAGTAAACTAGTTTCGCAAGATGGTTTGGTAACAGCTACTTATTAACTTACAACGCTTTACCTAAAATTGTCAGTTTGTTAAGTCGAAGCGGCTGCAGTGGTCGTTGCGCTTCGCAATGACGATAAAATCGTTCAACTTGGTGGAAAAGGGTGAGCTGAAATGAGCTCTATGGTCATGACAAGGTCACTTTAAAAGTCTTTTGTTTTTGCAGGTCCCAAATGGGGCATTCGCCATGTGCAAGTGCTGTTCCTTTTCATATGCTCCACCTTGGTCGTGGCTCAAAGGTTCAACATGAGCGTGGCCATTGTGGCCTTCACAAATGCCAATAGTAGTAACCCAAATTTTCCGGAATATCGTTTGACGGAGCAGCAGAAGTCCTACCTCCTTAGTAGTCCCTTTTGGGGTTCTTGCTGCACTCAAATGATGAGTGGCTATCTCTCAAGTCGCTTTGGAGCCAAGCTCATGCTCCTGGGCATCATGCTAATTACCGCCCTACTCAGCATTAGCACTCCTTTTGCTTTGGCCTGGGGCGGCTGGCAGCTGCTCTTCTGGGTGCGTTTGGTGCAGGGTCTCGCGATGGGAGGCATGTGGCCGTGTCTGTACACTCATCTGGCCAAGTGGTGCCCAAAGGAGGAAGCAAATCGAATGGGCGGTGTCATGACAACGGGCTTAGATTGCGGAACCATTATGGGATTCGCCTTGAGCGGAGTACTGTCGGCATCTCCACTTGGCTGGCCCAGCACCTTCTATGTGCCAGGTAAGCTTAAAATAGTTAATCCCTAAAGACATGAATAAACTTATTTTACATAATTTATTGTACATCATTAACTTCTTTAATTAAGCTGAAAAAGCTCTGAAAAAGTATTTATTATTAGCCAAAAACTATATTTTTACGAGTTAATAAATTATAAGTTAAATTATAATAAGTTTCATAAGCCAAGGTGGATTTTAAAAATGATTACTTCACTTAAAATATATTATTTTAGAGTTTAGTCTAAGAAATTAACTTAGATATATGACTGTAATAAGCTTAATTTCCATTTGCAGGATATCTGGGGATTATGTGGTGTCTGCTTTTCCTGCGTTATGGTGCCAACAGCCCATCAGAATCAAGATTTATTTCACTGATAGAGCGCAAATTGGCACTGGAGCAGAGTCAGGTCCCACGGGGTGAGACTCCGCCGGTACCCTGGCTTCGCATCCTTACCTCACGTCCTTTTATCGTGCTGGCTCTTTCCAAAATGAGTCAGGCATGCAGCTTCTATACGCTGATGCAACAGATTCCGCGCTACATCCACGGCATCTTCCACTACAGTATTAGGGTTAATGCCCTACTCTCTGCTGTGCCCTTTGTCGTCATGCTAATGTCCTCTTATGGATTCATTTTCCTGGCTGAATACTTGACCAGACATCGAGATATACCCTTGCCTATCCTTCGGAAGACGATCAATTCATTTGCCACTTGGACTCCAGCAGTGGCACTTGTGATCTTATCCTATCTCAGCGATGAGAATGTGGTGGGCAGTATGTGCTGCCTTGTGGCAGCAACAGCTGCCATTTCTGGACAGGCTATCGGAAGTTCCCTCAACCACGTGGACTTGTCACCAAATTTTGCTGGCCTCCTTTTCGGTATCAGCAATACATTGATGTCTGCAGCTGGGGTAATATCACCCATCATTATTGGACTGACCGTTACCAATGAGGTGATAAACGACTATAAATTAAAGACAATTTATTTAAAAGTATATTTTTATAATTTCAGTCAGATCGGACGCAGTGGAGATCTGTTTTCCTTGGCATCTCTGTGATTCTGTTCCTGGGCAACTTGTTATATGTGATCTTTGGTCAAATGACTGCCCAACCATGGAATGATTTCCAATCCAAAGAGACTACTACTCAAGCATCGCCAAAAACCTTACAGCCTACCACAGCTCCCGAAGAAACCTTTTCAGTGGAAAAATTTAACTATTTTTAAGTGTATATTTGCAATAACATATTCAGTTCCAATTTTGTTGTATATAAACAGTTTAAGATCACAATGGTATATATGTCACGTATCTCCTGCAGGGTGGAATTCGCTGCGTCCGAAGTTTGTATCTCTCAGATAGTAAACTGGGGATTCGTTGATTAGGGACATTACAATAGCCTTAAATCCCAAAATGGAAGCCAACTTGTATTTGAGAATCACTGATTTGATCAGTTCCACCAGTTGGGCCAGCGACTCCTCCTGTTTTGAGTTTGTGGCATGACTTTGGATGTGCAGCAAGTAACTAAGATAGAAAGGAAAATTATTTAAGAGTAAAGAAAAAGAATCATTATACAAACTTACCCCTTCACCACCTGTTCAATCACATCGTCATTGATGCGCTGATGGCACAGATACTCCTGCAGATAGGTGCCCACCTGAAGCACAACAAATTGGGACAAGATGGCTTCGCTCCAGTTAATATCATAACCGTAGGCACGACCCAGAATCAGAGTTTGCGGAACACTGAAATTAAATCATGATTTATATATGACATTTTATTTTTTTAAAGGTAGGTAAGTAGTTACCTAAGATGGGTGTTGACCAGTTCCCGAAACTGTTCCCTTGACTTCACTCCAATCACGCTTACACACATATGGTTGGTGTTATTACCGTGCCGCTTCTCCAGTGCCTTGTTGCAGAGATCCAGCTGCATGGCCATCAGCTCCGCTCGGGAAACACTTTGCTGGGCCAGCAGGAGTTTGTTGTCTAGCAGATAGTTCTCAGTAGCATGAGTATAGTTTTCTAATGCCTGCTGCAAAAGTGTTTGAACCTCTGCAGAGCATTTCAGCTTATTGGACTGCTCGGCCAGAGCTTGAATTTTGGTAACAATCTCCTGGGCTTCAGTGGTCCACATTTCGGCCAATTCTTTGTACATAAGAAAGTGCAAGGCTGCCAGTCGAAGCAACTCTTTGCCATTCTTTGGTTGGTATTCCCTTAGGTAGCTTAGAATTCCCTGCCGAAGTCCTCCTTTCTGATCCTCATCGAACTGTCCCAGCAAGGACTCAAACTGTTCGTTCTCAATAAGCGAATCAAAGCAGTAGAACATCTCGCGGTAACGTGCTATTCCAATTAACATTCGAACAATTAGCGACCAGGACTTTGCCTTTGCCAGTTGCCCATTGAGTGATTTAGCTTTCTGGAGAACAGTTACTATGCCTTCCATGGAGCACTCGTGCACAAAACACAGGTGAGCTTTAATCAATAGCTCAACGTAAATTTGATTCTGTTTTTTGTGGGACAGAACCTGAGGAATGCCTGACAATGTTCCAGTAGGTGTTGGTGTGGGCAATCCATAGAGTTCAATTATCTTTGAAAGATTCTCGAAGGCTTCGGTCTCCTCGAAGACCTTACCTTCCTGGTAGCGGCGATAGATCTTCAAAGCATCACAATACTCTAGCAGACAATTACCCAACATAGTTGAATTGGGAACCAGCTCTAGGAACAAGTGGAAGTCTCGATCAATGCTGTGGCCCCAGAGATCAGCGTTCCTTAAAGCATTTCTTGGTTGCTCTCTGGCATGGAAAATATAAAACCGGGGACGCACGATGCAGGTGGTTAGCTCCAGAGCCAAACACTCAGCAATCTATAAGAGTAGTAAATCGGTATATAACTTGATTAACATTCTAACATTGCAAAGACTCACTTCTTTTGGTGTCATCCGTGTGGATATTTGTATATCACTGACCACCAGTAGACGCTGCAGGCAATCTTCGGCAGCGGCACTCTTCAAAAGGATGCCAGCATCCTTGGTACGCAGCACATCCAGATACTCCTTGTCCAGATACATTGCTGCCCTGTAAGCCAAAACAATCCGTCTACCAAGCTCGATACCATATTTCAGTTTTGATCCAATGCCCAATAAGGTGTCCAGCGTTTGTTGCTTCTCCTTGGAAGGAATCTCTTCGAACTCCATCGCCACACTATCCGAACAGCTATCAGATAGATCACTTTCCCAGCGGGTCATAACATTTTGGTTCAGAGTAATCCGGTTGAACTTCGGAAACGCACTCTTCTCAATTTCACCGAGCAGCTGGCGTTCCTTGCTCGACAGATTACTTATGCTTGTCATGCCCTCGGCTAGAGCCATTGCAAATACAATAAATCGAAGGTCATTCGGTCGGAATTCAAAAAGCTCTTGTAGACGCAAGGCCTCCACAATGTCGCCTTCATCCAGGAGTGTGTTTAATAAAGTATTAAGTCTGGCTTCCATATCTGAAGTTAGCTGAGTTTTATCAGATATGCTAAGGTCATCTATTCCGGCCAGTTCTTTGAGTTCCGAGAAGGATTTGTATAGAACACATCGTTCTTGGAGCATAATTTGCTCAAAGTACTCCGAGTGGTAAATGGATAACTGAGAGATCTGATCCTCGGGCAGCTGCAGATAGCACAATACCATATCGTACTCGATCTGATCGCGATCGAATGATTCATTTGGGAACAAATGGTGCTGTTTGATTACGCCAAGTGTACTCTGAAGAAGCTCATATCGTTGAAGACCCACTTGGCCAACGGAGGAAGCTGCTTGCAATAGGAAGTTTACAAGTATGGCAGGGGCCAGAGCATGCTGTTGAATATCCATTTCATACTCCTTGTGGGGTCTTAATTCTCCAGCTTCCAGTTCAGCCATCCACTTGCCATAAACAATATCACTTAACGGCAGCTGCAATAACGATGCCAATTGAAGGGCCTTGTCATAAGCGCGAGCTTCAGTAAGGGCATCCACCAGCCGTCTGTACTCTGTGCTATCCCTCCTCACCAGCTGCTCTAGATCAATGGATAGCTCACGCAGCGAGGTGGCTGCAACTCCGAAAACTTTATGTAGAAGACAGAAATCCAGCAAGTCACAAATATCGCCCACATCCGAGCGACAGATGCAATCGAGGAAACGCTGTTGCTGCAGAATGCAATCAAAATTGGACTGCAGTTGGATGAGCAGCAATCCAATGGAACGTTGCATAACTTGGTTTTTGGGCAGAGAACCACAGAGAGGCAGGGTGATTGAATTCTGGCTCCAGTTAAAAAAGTACTGTCGTAGCTCCACTATTGTGGCATCGCTGAAGTCCTCCTGGTGGGCTGTCAGATGGAGGAAACGGCATAGATGAGTAAATTTACAGTCCTGAAAAGGAAATAGAAGACAAATTTAAACACTTAACTATTTTTATAATTTGTTCTACCTACCGGTTGAAATATTTCTAGACTGTGTAGAAGAGCATTCACATGTCCACCAGCTACAGCTCCACGAATGACAGACCACACCCACTCCGATCGATTCTCCTCTCGCACCTTGGAGGCTTCCTGTAGCTGCTGATTCCACTGACCGCTGGCCACCGAGAGCCAAACGAACCAGCACCAATCCCGGTTTTGTTCGCTGAGTGTAGCTGCCAGCACAGCCAAGACAGGAATCTCCTGTCGGATGCAGTGCCTTAAGAGATTTATGCTACTACAATGCGGATTATTGCCACTCATCATTTCCAGAAACTCAGCTGTGGTAAGAATAATCTCATTTGGGAGACTATTGGTACTGCACAGTATAATTGCAAATATATCCTGCCTAGGTGTGTGTGTTAGCAAAGTACACAAGGATTGATCTGTATTCCTTTGAAGCTGTTGCATGCTGGTATCTTGATTTGAACTGTGCGAAGAGTTGGTCATCGTCTCCTGTGAGGAGTTGGTTTGGGTTTCTCCGCTACGACGAGGAGGTCTTTGGAAGCTCCTCTTATGCTGACGATCGCCAGAGGATTCATAACTCAATGCGCGAAGCAGATGCACACCGATAGAAGATGACTTAAAGTGCGGCAATAGCTTCTTGAGTTCGTTTAAGGGCAGATCAAAGTACTGAAATATGAGCAGCAAATGCCACCAGTCATTTCTGGAGGCATAGTATTCGAGCAAAGTTACTGGAAGTTTTCCAGGAGTGTCTCTGACAGCCAGACGCATAAGGGACTGATAAAGCTCCAAAGGAAACTCCTTGGAATTCGCATCCAAATGTTCGACTATATCTCGTTCCCATTCACCCAGCAATTCGGAGTAACTTTTTCCGCTTCGACGCTTCGGTAGCTTCCTCTGCAGTAGGAGGAAACTCCTTAGTGGCTGGGTATCGAAGCCCAGCATCTCGCAGCAGGCTACGCAGTGGGTTACTAGTTCCTCATCGCCGGCGTGTTGCAATGCCATTTGGGTTACCGTCTCACAGGCGTGGAAAAGCTGTGTCTTGGTAATCTGGCCATAAAGCTGAAGCTGCTCCGTGATCAGATAATAAACGGCATATGCACTTCTCTGCTGCTTTAGATAATGGGTGTAGTTCAGTTGAGATTTTCTAGCGTAACGCTGGCAGAGGCGCGCATTTGAGAAGTTGACCAGTTCCCCATGTCCAGCGGCGGCCAGAAGCGGTAGATTAACCTGCTTGAACTTTAGGAAGAGATCGTGTGCTGTTGGCAGGCCGGTACTGCTGCTTGTCGGGCCGTGATCGAATCGAGCAATCAGTGATTTGAGATAGGGCACGCGACCCAAGCTGGTCGAACTGAGGAATCCCTCTAGGGAGGGCACACTTGGCTCCTGACCCAGAAAGTCGTAGAAGGTTAACAAGGGATGCCCTTCAAAGGAGTCGGCTGTATTATGAGTTTTCTCCAAGTACGCCTGGACGCTTTTGGAAATCTAAAATAAAGTAGAGTTAACACAAATTACAGTATTTCTTTAATAATATTAGCTTAACATTGTTTTTAAAAGCTTTTAATTTTAATTCCAGACTTACCAACTCGAATCCCTCGCTGTCGGTCAAGGAATTGGTTTTTAGATCTATGATAAGGTTAATCAGAGCTTCCTGCTGTGTCTCTGTGCCCGCCAGGAGTTCCAGCGAAGCTACAGGCACACACTGCATGAGGAGCAGAGAATACTGGCCACGATCCAACAAATATTTGGCTAAAGGCTGACGGCTTAGAAGATCTGCATGTTTTCCCAAACACTCCATGGTACACAGGCGGCGTAGAAGAGATGGAATATCTCCGGTTTCATCCGAAAAAAAGTATCCTGCGCGGGCAAAGAAATTTCGTAGGACTTCGCTGGGATTTTTCAGTTGCAGAAGAGCATAATCGTACATGGTGACATCTATTTTCCAGGCCACAAAGCCCTGTTCCAAGGGTGAGAGCGATTCTTCGGCCTCGAAACCCTCCTCCTGACACCGGCACCAGCGCTGAAGCTTCGTGTGTTGGTCACTATCCACCAGGTGCTGCCAGACTAATTCTTTGGAAAGAGATCCGAGCAAGGATTCGTTGCCATTGACGAAGTAAAGTTCAACGAGAAGCACCTGCAATGTCTCCTCTGGTAATGTCATCAACGCTTCAATGTGGACACGAGGTAACTCCATCCGGTGCTTGTCCATTAGAGAATCGCACTCCCGGAGCTGCTGTACCAAAGACCAGTGATAGGCCAGTACTGGCTCCTCCTGCTCGTACATTAACGGTTCCCTATTACGTAAGTGATCCAATACAAACTCGCTTAGTTCCTCATCCTGGCATTCGCAGGCGAACTGAAAGAAGAAGCATTTGACATCCCGGTCCACATTCCGGATCACATCCTCAGCCTTGCAAACGAGTCTCTCGGAAAGAAGGCGCTGCACATATGCCTGCACCACATCGTAAAAGTAATGTCGGTACTCCGAGACGGGGATCTTTCTCTTCTGCGCCCAGTACTCCATGCACAGCTCGATGTGCTCGCCCTTGGTGGCCACCTCCTTGATGATGGTCACCTCACTGATCCCCGTCCAGTTCTTAAAGATCTTATCGCGGGCTTGAGCCTGCGCCTGGGCGGAATGCATCTTGATGGGCGGAGTTTTTGGAATGTTCTGCTGGCTTTTTACATCTCTTTGTTACGCCTCTGTGTGGGCGAACAATGCAATCAACAGTTGATAATAGGAAAAACAGCTGAATCTGCTTCCTCTTCCTCCGCGGAACTTTATGTGCAGTTAAACTAGTTCCAAAAAGCGCAGAATGATGTGAATAGAGGTTTCCCGTGCCAGCTTTTTTATTTTCGATCCAATCCATTCATAAAGTATGTTTAAGTATTATGTTTAAAAAATTAAAAAATTATACATTTAACTTTTTTTGTTGATGGCACCATACAATTTTTATATAATTTGATTTTTCAAATAATTAGTTATGATTTTAACTAGTTTTTCCATTTTATTTGGTACAAAATAGAAGTTCTATCCAATTTTATTCTAAGTTTTTTTATTTTAAATTCATATACTATTTGTCAATTATAGTTAATTGAAGGTGGTTACCATAAGTCGAACTACTGTAATTAAAATTTATTGTTTGCTAATTTTCAATTTCGTTGCGGTAAAAATTGAACAGACGTTAATTAAGTTTTGTTGTCAACATCTCTAACTAGCACATATTTTTCTTACTACAGTTTCCTGAGTTCGAAACTATTAATCTTTAAAGTTGTACCGGTCCCTCTGTGAATGAGCTATAAAAGTTAGTAGACATACCAACTTGTTTTGCGATTTCTACCTAGATGTTTTTTTGGTATATTTCTGGAAATATCTTTGATGGTTTGAGTCTGTGCCAGAATTGTATCTAGGTTCTGAACCACAGCATACATTTTCTTGGTCATAATTAGGTAATTTCTTCGATGTTTTATGATATATTTTGACGGTGGATGCGCGGTCACACCGTATTTCCCTCCTTTTCGTTTTCGTTTCCGGCGAAGTAAGTAGAAAAAATCTCCACGTTTTTCTCTATGCTAATAATTAAAACATTTAATTGATAAACTAGCGATTAATCTTGGAATAACCAGCCCGCGAACAGCAGAATGTCGAAGAGAGGTAAAAATCCGATTGAAATGTGCGGTTAAAGCGTGAAACGTGTGAGCATGTGACGCCGCTACTGCGTGACGAGTGTATAGAAATGGTGCTCCAAACTAATTATCTGTGTTTTTGTGTTGAATCTAGGACGTGGAGGTACCGCGGGAGGTAAATTCCGCATCTCCCTCGGTTTGCCCGTGGGCGCCGTGATGAACTGTGCCGACAACACCGGAGCCAAGAACCTGTACGTTATCGCCGTCCACGGAATCCGTGGTCGCCTGAACCGTCTGCCCGCCGCTGGTGTCGGCGATATGTTCGTGGCCACCGTCAAGAAGGGAAAGCCTGAGCTCAGGAAGAAGGTGAGTGTGGTACCGAGTATTGGAAATAGTGTAAAAGCTGTGTAGGGTGTCAACTAACCCATAAAGTGAGCACGTTTTTTTTTAACTTTGTTTTTGTGCACTTTTATGAATGAAATTTTTGCAGCATTTGAGTGAACGATTTTAATATTTGATTTCATTTTAATTGGTATTGTTGATATTGTAGAGATTTTGTTTTTGGCTATGTTTAATATTATGCTTACATTATATTTTCGTTAAGTTGACAAAAACCTGTGTAAATATGAAGCGTAAATATTTTTTTTAGACTAGTATTAAAAGTTTATAGGTTCATCTTTCTTCTCTTGATTATTTACGGGCGAAAATAATTTTAATAATAATAACAATTTAATATTATTTCCGTGTAAGAAATTTACAAGTTTTTCTATATCTGGTAGGATATATTGAACGGCTTATCTTCCTGCTCCAAATGACTTAATTCATAACTCCCGTATATATTGTGCCGGCTGAGATAGCTTATCGCTCGAAAAGCACGTTTTTTGCTTTTTGTTTATTTCTTCTAACCAAGTACTTAGATTTCTAGATGCAACAAAAGCTTTCCCAAGCACATTACTTGGTATAATGATTTAGTAATCGTCGAATTAAAACGGATTTTTATTTATTAAATACCCTTAAACCCCAAGATATTGGATACTACGTTTAAACGGCAATACTGACTTTTGTTTTTGTTTCTTTCCAGGTCATGCCTGCCGTGGTGATTCGGCAGCGCAAACCGTTCAGGAGGAGGGACGGGGTGTTTATATACTTTGAGGACAATGCCGGGGTAATAGTGAACAACAAGGGCGAAATGAAGGGCTCGGCCATCACTGGGCCCGTGGCCAAGGAATGCGCTGATCTGTGGCCCCGTATCGCATCCAATGCAAGCTCTATAGCCTAAGGAGTTTCCTTTTCAAATAAACCCACAACGGAAAACAGATTGTTTTGAATTAGAATTGTCGGATCTTTTATTGAATGTTTCACTGCTTCGGTACCAGAGGATCGTTCCTATGCTTTGGGTGCTTCGGTGCGCAAAGTGGGCTTGGGTCGAGTCACCTCCATTGATATCTTTCCGTTGGCACCCTTAAACAAGGCATAGCACACCTGGAACGTGAGACCCTCCAGGGAATCGCCATTGAATTTAGTGATGATATCGCCGCGTTGCAGTTTGTTGTCGATCTCCGGGTACTGACCTTGTATCTGCGAAGGCAAAAGTATCTCACAGATTTGTAATCCAGTGCTAACCCATGTTATATACATACTACGTCCGCAATCGTGCATCCCAGTTCGTTGGGTGATAGCGAGAGGCCCAGCTCCTTGCCAGCTTTCTTCATGAAGTCCACATTAAACTTTTCCAGCTCCGGTGGGTCGGCGCGATACACTGTTAAGTTTACCGTCTTTTCGTATGTGGTGTGGAAAAGCTGATGGACCTTTAATGTAGTCATAGCACCTACGTGGATTGCTGTGCCATTCACATCGCAGATGTGGTCAAAGATCTTAAGGCGTTTGTCGGCAGCCACTTGTCCTTCTGGATAAATATGTGTGATCACACAGCCAGTCTACCAGAACAAAAAGTAAGAGATTACTATTAATCAAAAAAGGCGTTTATAGCCTACCGTGACATGGTTATTCTTGCCGCCGCAGACGATTACGCCCATCGGCTTCTTCTCCACCTTCAACTCGATGAGAATCTTTTTGTTGGGCTTGATCTCGGCTGTGGCTGGTTCCTGTGGCTTCTCCTCTTCTTTCTTAGCCTCTGTGGTTATAAAGTTTAAAGAGCCGTGTTGTTGACTTTGTTTTCAGTCAACGCTTACCCTCTTTCTTTTTCTCTGCCTCCTCCTTTTCGGCCTTTATGGACTCCTCGCTCTTGAGAGTCAATAGAATCATGGTCACCACGCCCTCGGCACGTTTCAGCAATCCAGTTGCCTAAGGTCGCGGAATGGCTTACAAATTGAGTGGAGTTTGGTTTCAATAACACTTACATCATCGTAGTTGGATTCTAGAGTAACATCTTGATTAACGGCCAACAGCATGTCACCCACTTTTACGCCCGCTATCTCGGCATTGGAACCCTCTCTCAGATCAGAGATGAAAATGCCGTTGCCCACTTCGGCGTGCTTGCCGTAGATGACCATGATGCCCAGGAAACCTTCTTTGCGCACCTGTACCGTGCGTGCTTTCGGGAACTGGTCAAAGATGAACTTAGTCTGATAAAGAGAGAGGGAAAGCATGTAATCCATTAAGAAACTTTGATTTTACTCAACATGGATATTTTAAGTTATTATTAAGTACATAATTAGCTTAAAACATACCTCATCCGACGAGGTTGGGAACTTCTTGATGGGCTTTACGCACATGCCCTCATCGTTAGGCTTGCGTCGCGAGGTGATCATCACCAGCTTATCCCCATCCACGTTCTTGAACACGGCGGACGCGTTCAAGTGGCAGCGATTCTTTAGCACATTGCCGTTTACCTCGACGATCTCGTCACCCGGCTTAATGTCCACACTGGCCAATGCTCCATTGGGATCCACACCGGCTACAAAGCACGCCATCTTTTGGCGGTCCTTGTGTCCAGCAAGAGCAAGTCCTAGAGGCTTGCTGGCGTCCCTCTGGACCTCGATTCTTCGCAGGTCCTTCATCATGTTGTACCGCTTATTGATCTTAGCTGGGAATGAAATTAAAGTGGTGTGTGTCAAAGTTTTCATTGCTGGAGGGCACTTACCCATCGTGTAGCCAAAATCATCTTCCTGTTCCTTGTCGCGATCCTTCTCCTGCTTGTTTAGTTTGCAGTTACCGGCGGAAGCTCGATCAATCTAAAGAGAAGTTGCGAATCATTAAAGGCGCTATGGATGATGGCTTGGGGTCAACCCACCTCATAGCCCGACTCCGTGCGAATGCGACCGGTCATGTCTCGGGTGTCCTCATCATCCTCATCAGCATAGTTGCTGTGCTTTTGACGCATCGAGGCCGTGAATGTGGTATTGCGTTTTTGCATAGTTTGCTGACGATTCACGCCACCCATTCCCTGACTCTGACCTTGACCCATTCCCATTCCCTGACCTCCACCCGCATTGTTGTTGGGCGCCTGCTCCTGGTTGAACTTGTTTTTGGCCTGCATGTAGCCATTGCTACGCGGATCTGTCTTTGCCTGCTGTTCATCGCTCTTGTCGAAGGTCTGAATCTCCAGATCGATCTTAAAGTCTGCCTCCTTAATGAGATCGATGACCGCTTGTTCGGTGGAGTTACGAACATCCTTTCCGTTGAGTGAGAGGATTCGGTCACCAACCTTTAAGCGACCACACAGGTGCGCCGGACTGTCGGGCACAATGCCCTTGATGAAGATACCGGTGGTCTTGGTGTTGGGCGAATCCTTCACCTCACCTCGTACTATGCAGATTCCGAATGACTTTTTGCCCGTCTTGTCCAGGGTCACCATGTGAATGTGCTCTGTGGAAAGTTTTAAGGGGTTTTTAGAATAGAAATCCTAGATATGCATTATTTATTTGCGAAAAATAAAAAATTAAAATCTTTCTTTAAAGTTGGTAATGAGATTAAAAAGAGCATGAAAATATTTTCAATTATTGATTAATAATAAGATCGAAATGCATCTTAAACAATTGTCTATATATTATGTAAAATTCATTTCGGAAATAGTTTGGACATATATTTTATTTTTACGAAGAAAATACAACCGGTGGTTACCGGGGAATCCCGGGAATTGGGAATATTTCAGTTTCACATTTAAGTTCAGACTCGATTTCTGCATATCTACATTTCTTTAAATTTAATTTCTTTAATTATGCTAATTCAATATTTATTGAATTATATATTTTATATTTAAGACACTTTTGCGAAAATGCAATCATAATTATTAACTAAATAAATTAATCGATTGCATCCATTAAAATAAAGCTGTGCAGGATTTTAAAATTGATTTCCTTCTTATTAAGCCGGATGGTATTAGGGTGAAATCAGATATATGTTGTTTTTTAATTGAAATTGCGTAACTCCCAAAACTATTAAAATTTATTTTAAATTCACAAAAACTTTATTAATATGCCCGAAATATTCATAATGTTTGCATAAAACGTTAAACCACTAAACCACTGAACACATCAAGGTCAAGTTCTTTCTGGATTAGCTGCAAATTTGATTAGCGATTGGTCATGAAACCATGGAATGGACACTGACCACCAGTGGCGCCCGGATTTCCCAGGAACTGAACCATCCTCGCTGGTTGGGATCGACTGCACTGTAATCCAAGCCAAACTCGCGACTCACTGACCGGACATCAAAGGCACCAAATTAATTTGAAATTTATTTCAGAATATTTTTAATAATTTGTTGATAATTATGTATTAGTCGTGAATATTCCGCGTTGGCAGCGCCCGATTTGAGTCCATTGAAAAGTGCGCCTAAACTGATTTTACAATTAGCGGGCGAACATTCTTGCTAACTGACTTAGTGGCCATTCTATTTTGAGTATGATTTTCGTATCGATTACACTATTCAGCATGGGTTGACTTAGATTAGGAAAACAAAATGTAATCGTTAAATATTTTTTTTTAGTATTTGATCATTTAAAAATAATGTTTTAAATTGCAGATTAATATTGATATTATAATATTATTACTAACTTAATCAATGAATCAAATTGAAAAAAATAAATATGCTTTATTTTAATATCCAGTTTTTCCGAATCGAAACTTTTTTATATTCGTTACAAAAGGTGTTGTTTTAATTGATATTATTTTCCATGTAGTGCAGTGTTATCGATTTGGCGGAGGTGCTTCTATTGCATTGAGCAACTTTCACTGTCTGTTATGACACCACTCACATAATACACAGCTCCCTCAAGACGGTCATAATATGGGTTACATTCGAGAATATGATGGCGGGAATGGAAAATGCTCTACTCAAGTGTCTTTATAGCCCCATCAAGTTATTAATTTGTTGGTGCGATTTGGCCAATGCCGAACTCAACACTCCACCAGCGGAAGCCCATCAAGTGTTGACCAGAAATGCCCATCGATTTTATCTTTTTCTTTCATTGCACTTACAACCAAATAACATATGTCCCACACACTTTTACCTTTTCGAGAACTTGCATGTTGTCTAGGTTTTAAAAAAAATATTGCTGAACAAATTTATAATGAAGGAATAGGCACTCTGCTTTTGCCTTTTGATATTCATAAGTATACAATAGACCCCTGATCCCTGACCATTATTAGATAATAGGCATTGGTCAGATTATATATTATAGATTATATAAAATTTGGAGAACATATTAAGAAAAGTAAGAAAAAACGAGTTCTATAACTACGAAAGTACATAATATAGCATTGGTAGGCAAACAAATTTCAAAGAGGTGAAGGGCAGGGACTAGCAGATATTAACAAAATACACATACTATATATATATTTTTATGGATATTCCAAAATGTATCTGTTCCTGTTATTAAATACAAATTCTACCTAAGATTTAAGTTTATAAGCATAATTTTTATAACAAATGTAAGGTTTTACGCACGTATAAAAATAAATAAATGTTACATTTCTTTATTTTCGCATTTAAACAAATGAAAATATTTTACAATTTAAGATAAAACCTTCCAAATAAGCCCAAATATTTGCGAGGTAATTGTTCTCAATTTTGCTCTAAAATGTAGGCAACACTTTACGTTGTGTTCCCTATAAACTGTATTTCTAGCAGAGCCCTGCAGGGATTCATTCGAAATTATAACACAAGCGCAAAGCCAAAGGTAATCAAATAAAAGTTCCACGAATTCTGCCATTTGAGTGGCAAATGAAATTAATTTGTACGCCAAGCTTAAATTCATAATCAAGATTTGCATTTTAATGCCTTTTGCCAAAGGAGAAGGAGCATCAAAAAAAGGCGAAGGAAAATGGAGGAGGCAAATGGAGAAGAGCGGGAAAGAAGAAGATGGCTATGCAAACATTTCCATTAAATGCTCGAACAAAATGAAATGAAAGTAGAAACGCTAAGGCAGCTCCAAAGGAAAACTAGAGTAAACACATGCTCAAAGATACGGGGGGATGGATGGGTGGAAAATGGGCAAATGGGGGGAGGGCAACTGGAAAATGGCCACCCAGAGATGAAGGGAAGTGGAACGTCAACGACTGCAAAACGATGTTGGAAATTAATTTCATAATAAAAAAGCGTAAGGAAACCCATTTGATAAAACAATTTCCTTTTTGCCTCCCAACAGTCATGTTTTGTTAGTAAAGTAAATTCAAAAGAGAGCAGAGCGAAAATATGGCAATGAGCTTAACTCTCCCGTCTCCTTTCTTATGTTTTGTCCTTCCACCTCCCCTTCGCTCTTCGGCAGTCTCTGCCACTGCCAGCGTCTCTGCTTGCAGGACCTCGCCTTCTGATTGGTGTTCCTTCGGCAGCCACGCCCTCAGCAATGGCTGCTTCTAGCATTGTTCCTCTCTCTCTATCTCTCTTTTGCTCTCGCTCTGCATAAGCTGCGCTGCTGCGTCGCAGTCGGCGCATGGTTGTTGCGAGGATTTAGTTAACTGAAGTGATTTTCCACTGTTTGCTGTCGCACACATACACACGCACAAACATCCTCTTATGTAAGTGGCCACACGTGCGTGTGTGTGTGTGTGTGGGCGAATCCGTTGTTGACTTGTTCTCGTGTTGTACTTACATGCAGTTATATCAAATTGCTAATAATCGTTTAGCAGGCACTTCAGACTGCGTCCTGGAAATGAATAAAAATTACAGTTTTCTGCGCAAAAACACTTGAGGCAATGATTCGGATTTGGAATAATATGGAAATTGTTTGGGATCCTGGGGACTGGGTAAAGTGGAGAACCACAAAACCTCAAGTGAGAAGGGTTACCTTGCATTCCGAGGGGAACAGCCCCTTCTATCGTCACTCGGCTGGATATGCCTTCACAATTGTTGGTAACATTAATTGAAAGCTCTCACAAAGCCAACCATTTCCTCGTCCTTAGTTAACCGTCTAGTTTTAATTTGATTTTTACTCTACGATGGCTGTTTTGTTGTTTAAGAAGTGCACATCATTTTTTTTTTCAAACTTCTGTACGTTGTTCAACATTAAACCCATAGAAATAGTTCTTAAAATATTTATAAAATACTGTGACAAAAAGTTAAACTTCTATATATTATTTTACTCAAACAACACAGCTTGAAAAAACAAAGTTCTGAATAATAAATACATTATGTTCAGAGTTATAAATAAGAACTTCTTGAAGCCAATGTTATCATTCGTCTTTTGCAGTATTTTTGGCAGCGCGATTTAGCTTTGTTTTCTTTAGATATACTGAAATAAATCTTGAGAGAAACAATATCTAATGTCAAACGTTTAAGAGTATAGCCTAACCTTCCTACTAGTATGACACTCGTATCAATAGGGATATCTTAGCATCAACGAGTGTACACAGATAAATACTTTTTTTAAATTCTGGTAAATAAAACTTCTGGATCACGGAGAGCACGAGTTTTACATGAAGTGTGTAAGACTCGCTAGTAAAGCTTAAAGAAAATATATCTTTTATTAGCAAAATCTATGTTCATATTATCCATAGAATTTTGAGATTTCCGGGAGCAAAGCGGGAGAGGTAAGAAGGTGTATTACAAATAGCTGAATAAGCAAATTACAATGATGGTTCCATGATGCGGCATAATCTTTGCACTCTTCCAAATAATTCTAATCTATTTCGAATATATTCAGTTTTCCTAAAATATTCATTAATTAAGTTACCCCTAGAAGTACCCCAGTTTAAGGTAATAATGGTTAACCGATCATCAATAAGATAAATAAATATAATCACTACATTGAATTACAACCTTATTGGAAATTCATTCTGAAACTTATAATCGGTACAGAGAGGCGCAACAGGCGTTCTCCTCCCGTTAAGATACACAAAACAAAAAGGGGGCCAAGCGATGGGACAGGAGAGGAAAACCAACTGAATATTCTCACGACATTTAAGGACATCTGCAAACAATTACGCCCGTACATGTGTACTCAGCTCGAGTTCGAACTGAGAGCTCCGAACTCCGAACTTCCAACTCGGCCGGAATGACGCATGGAATGCCCGTAAGGGAAGGCGAGGCGGGGATTATAGATATTTGTGTTTACTACGGCTGTACATATAATGTCCTCATAACTTTTAGTACGTGAACGTGATAGAGCAAATAATGGTGCCCACATGGCCGCCAGGAATCCAGGAATACAGGACCTCACTTGCATCCGAGATCCGGGATGGGTGGAACGGGATTTACTGGATTACGCGCGCCGCCCAACATTAAAACTCAATTTGAATGACAACGCGTAAGCAAATAATTGTCCTTTTGTGACCCGCCAGTGTCCTCGGTCTTCACTTGAAAGTTTGCTCTCCACACGGTAGTAAGTTATTCAAATATTGAGTTTTTCAACTCGCTCGAAGCGGGCGCACTCTGCCGAACCACCCTCCGATCCAATCCGTATATGTGCGCAGGAGAATCCTCATCCTCCGGTCTTGGACTCGGTCTCGAAATTTCATTCGCTTCCCTTTGTTTGAGTTGGGCTCGGTTCACTCCTCTAAATACATTTGATTTGTTTACCATGGCCCGAGGCCGAGGCCGAGCCGGAGATCTTAAGCTGCATGTAAATGCGTTAAATTAAATTTCAAACGCTTGTACTCCAGCTGAAGGACAATGACAATCAAATGGCTGAATGGGTGCTCCGGCCCGGCTTTCATTGAGTGGGTAGTGGCTGACGATTTTGATTTGGTGCTCATCCGGCTGGCGGCCTAATGCGATTATGGGAATAAAGATTTGCAGGCTTTGTACGAAGTCTTTTTAAGCCACACGTATTAGTAAAATGCTTCTTGATAAGTCTCTAAACTAAATGTAATTTATTTTTTAATCATTTCAGTGTCTTCTTCCTAGCTTTTATTTTTAAACTTATATTTTTAAACCAATTTATAAATTTGTAAATGTATATTGGGATGGTTCGTTTAATTGAGATTCGTAAAAAGAATCAAACTGGTAGACTATCTACAGATTGTTATAAAAATGTATAAATGGTGCGATAAATTCACCTTATCATTAAAAAGTTTAATTTCAATAACTTGAAGGTAAACTTCTTTCATCTAAATTATGAAAAATGATCTAAAAATTAGGAAACTTAAAATAAAATGTTTTTCTCTTTAAACTTCCTAATCCGCCAAGGTAAAACCATTTTGATCTCATTTTTCAAGGCTTTTCTTTTTTTTTATTATCGTAAAGATATATTAGGTTGTTAAAAAAGTCTTTCGGTATAAAATTGGTTACAATAATGCGATTCAAGTCAAATATGCGCCGTTTGGTTCGATGATGCGTTCCCAACGAGATGCCAACTTCATAATGCCCCTCTCATAGAAGCTCGCTTC